ATTTCTACAGGTAGATCATGATCCGCTGCGGCCCGGGGTTCGGGCACGGCATGTGGAGGAAGGATCGTTTTAGGCCTATTGGTTTTGCATGGATGGCCCGAAAAAAAATAAAACGCGTCCCTGTTGAACATAGCCGACGAGCAGCCGTTCGAATTCTGTGGTCACATCTCGACAAACCCGGGATTGGTGTGGCAACAAATTAACTCGCTTAGGTAGATAATTGAACGGGAAATTGCAGGGTGCCAAGCGTGCAGTCGCATGTGTCACGTGTCACGTACACAGAAGCGGCCAAGCTGAATGTGACCGGTTTTTTACGGTTAATACTGTGTCTTGGGAGCCAGAGTGCGTGGATGCGTGAATCCAATTTCAAAGTGTTGGCTGACGTACTGTCATCAATTCATGTGGCCGACACGAGTTCATGCGACGCGCGGCTGCGCCAGTATTCGTTGGACAAGCCGGGAATGTCGGCATTTTGAAAAGCGGCGGCGGATGCGACACGCTGTCGTCAAAACTGCAGTCAGAGTCGCGGCTCAATTTGCATCACTGTGCGCACCAATTCATTGTCAGTATTTACCACCCACGTATTTGTCATTATGTGCACTGTTCCGTCAATGCATCAACTAACCTAAATAGCCGCAAGTACACATTTTTGCGTCATCAAAATGCCGCCGGTTGATCGCCAGTCGCCAAAACGACGAAGCGCGCAAACGCCGGATGTCGCCAGCGTCCAACAGTCGTCATCCGTTCATTCATTTATTTGTTCATTCATTCATTCACTCGTGACCGAATTCCTGGCTGTGAGAAGTGCCAGACATGCCACATACACCGGATGAAGAATAAGTTAAAACGGGCACAATAAGATGACATAGAAAACGCAATAGATTTTCAGCGAAGCTTATTGCTATGGTAAAACAGCACTAACACTGGTTTCGCAGTGTGTGCTCTGGAATCACCTAAGAGTCTGGCAGCATAAAAACGTTGCAGCAGCATTGACAAGGGGAAGTGGCGAAATCAGGGAGATCTGGCATTTGCAGTAGTAGCAAGTCCAACGCTCCAACTGCAGCGAAAGATTTGGACGTGCCCGGTAGTCAGCACATTATACCCGATTCCCGTCAGGCATCCCGGCAGCCAGGGTTTGGGTCAGACAGAGAATCACAGAAATAGTGTTGAAGGCTTCCCGAGATCATGCAAACACAAATCGTCCATGGACGCTCCGTTACTTAGCCAAGCAAACCCGTAAGCACCTGTGCATTCTATTTGGTCACGCGTTTCTTTTAATGAAATTACTCCCGAAAGTCCCATATATCTATTTGCGACCATTCCTTATCGCAAATTGAAAACAATGTCCCTATTTGCGTTCTTGACAAGAGTGAAGTTCCACGAAACTGCGTAACGCGATAAAATGCATAGGGTATGGAGCTGTGCAAAGGTAACTTTACAATAAACGACGATTTTTGTCCCAAGACAATCGTGCAGGTATGCCGCAAGAGGATAACATCAAAGCTAAAACACTATCCGCTCAGGAGGTCACTAATGAGATATTTTCCCCTGATGTTAAATTTGGCAAAGATCGGGGACACGGATCGTGTCCGTCCCCCCTCCCCATCCAGTGGTAGAGCCCATGAGAGCATGATAACTATACGTTGTCCTTCATTTGATAAAACTGTGTGCTCTCCTTTTCGCCGTTTTAAGAAGCATCCACGGGATTATAATCTTCTTTCGCTTAAATCCACTCGAAAAACAGCCCGAAAGTTTCCAGCTGTCGCCGCATCATTCCGGCGGCCCCAGTGTGAGGTGACCTCCAGCCTGACTGCGCCTGAGAGCGTGCCGGACTCAAGCGAGCCAACGCCCATCAAAATATTCTGGCGAGCGCTTAATGTGTGTGACAACCGCGGCCGTAAGGCACTATGATGCTCCATTTCATCACATCGGCTTGTCCTTTCGTATTGAATTATCTCTGTTCGTTGGAAGCAGGCGTCTCGGCAAGGTTCTTTCTTGGATGCAGAAGAGCTAAATATTAATACACCGTACTATGAGCTTTCACTCCAGTGTTGACGTCATACTTGATAGCGCATGCGCAAAGTTGGTACCGATTTTCTGCGGCATTTGGGGAACGCCATCTTGCGGGATAAATTCCGTTTTTGGCCAACATCTCCAAATCTTCTCTCCATATACGGGACTTATAAAAAGGTAAGACCCAAAGTTATTATATTAAACCGTGTTACTTTTTCTAGATCCGTGGAAACGCCCATTGTATTGGGATGCGGCAAAAGCTGCGCAGTCCGATTCAGCTTGTGGTATCGTCGGAAAGCGGTTTGGTTGCTGTCAGTGTAAGTCATTTCTGGGGGTTCTGTCTTTTATTAATCGTAGCACGTACATACCCACTAAATTCCTTTGGTCCACATCTCTTGTTGAAACCAATCATAAGTGTAAGGATTGGGTCAAGCACAAGAGTACAGTAGCACTCTTCACAAGCTGATAGTTCATTTATGGGTGGATCAAGAGATGTATGACGATATATCTTGGTTCTATATGATGTGTGAACCTTGTCATCATTTTGTATTGTGGTAATCTTTGGGGATCAACATATGACCAATTGGTGTGGTTATTTGGCATGTACTATAGCATCAGTAGATGTTTTGCATACTCATTACTGGTGATCCAAGTTTTGTGTTTATTCATGGTCACATAGAGTTGTATGGACATTTATCATTTTGTTCAAGGCTTCCTGGTTTAATAGTTCAAACTTGTGACAATTCAGCACTGAAGTCTGCCAACATAAGTAACTGGAAACTTGCTTAAACCTGTTGGCACATATTGCAGGTACCATCTCTCCTATTTTCTGATAAAAATAGTAATTGCCCTGAGGGATGATAGAAACATAATCATTGCACCTTCAGGTGGAAAAATGCAAGATATTTGATAGTGCACACAAAAAGGTATGAACCTAACAGCATTTCTACATGTCTTGCCCATTTTCCAGATTTCTTTACTGTTATACTTTTAAAAATGGATTTCAAACTTTGTAGTCACAAGGTTTATGCTTCATGATATGGAAACTAAAAGCTAAATTAATTCAAAATTGAAGCTGGCTGTTTGAATCAAGGCTTAGGTGATTGTATTAGCTGAACAGGAAGTTGGTCAGGTTGAAATGGGTCACTGCCAGTTCTGAAATATCCATTTCACATTTATTTAGAATGATGCATGCTGTCTCCTTTTGTAAACAAGCAGTTCTGTCAGTGATTTAGTACTTCTGAATTGTAAAGTTTATGATATGATAACCAAAATGTAAGCCAAGGTGTGCTACAGCCCTTGTCTTTGGTAAAACAAATAGTACTGCAGCCTATATAAGTCCTTTCTGCCCTAGGCCTTGATTACTGGGCTGATGTCTGATCCTCCAATGTCAGCTTGCTAATCTGTGCACTGCATGTTGGCATACTGACTTGGTTTTTTTAAATGAGCAGGTTTTATGTAATGCATATGCAAACATCTTCAATTGTGATTCATCTGCAAGAGTAAATGTTTGCCAGGCTTTCTTGGTACTTATTGGCATCTTGAGGTGTAGGTGTTTTAGTTGCTTGGTTGAATTTTTGATAATGAGTTTTTGACAAAAACCACTGGTTATTATGGTGATGGTCATTCATATTCTTGTCATCATTTGTGGCCACTGCAATAACATAACCTTTAAGCTAAAGTGAAGCATGTGGTAATGCTTGCTTGGGCTGTCTTGCTTTCTGATGTTGACTCACCTTTAGCATTGCTGCTGCCATTGGTCTCAGGCTTCTCAGTCATGGCCAAACAGTGAGCACTTGTGACATGAACCCACCCTACCATCAGTGTGTAAATCTGAAGATGTGTCATCAGACCATACACAGTATTAGGATGGGCTAATGGATGTCTGGATACTGGACAAATGGGTACTGCCAATGGATATGACATGATTTTCCAATAGCTAGTTGTTTTCTTGTTATATATTTGATGCTGTTCATAGTATTCATATCTTCAAGCCACCAGAAAAACTGAGTCAAAATATAGAAGGCATTTCAACAGTTTTAATATGTCTGCAGGGCTGATTTGAAATAATTTCTTGATACTTCTCTTCTCATCTATGTGGCAGTGTGCATCATGGGTGTCAGCATGGTTTGCCGGTGTTCGCAGCCGTGTGGGGAGGCGTGGCTTGCATGTGTAGTGCAGACCCAGCTTTGTGTTATCCAACACAAATTTGCTTTGCATTTGCCAATATCCATGCATTTTACACAAATTTATTAGCTTTTGTGTTCTGACTGACTCGCTGACTCACTGTCAATGGCTGACAAGGTCACAGATCTGATTCAAAGCTAATGCTTGAGCTGAGAGGTCCACAGGTTAGTTTGGTGGGCTTTGGTTAGAACTTGGAAGTCATTCTGTCATGCTGGTCACAAAAAGTCATGTTGGCTGTGGTGGAATACCAATGATCACGACAGCATCTGAGCACTTCCACTGCCAAAAATATATGCATGTTTGAGCTGAATTGGGGAAAAGCAAGCAGCTCTGTGAAGTGTAATCCCATATAAAGCATGTGGATCACATGCTTCAGGAAAAAATGACAAGGTCCCTCCTGAGAGAAATTGTTCTATGCATGTGCATCATATTCAGGACTGTGACTGCCTGACTCACGGATGGCCTGGAAAACCAGACACTGAGCTTGATCTTTCACACTCCTGTGCTATGCTGAAGTCAGCCCACATGTGACCCTAGGCGCCTCATTCCAGCGGCGGCGCCAACAGCGGACCGTGCGCGGCCCGCAGAAAGCAGCGGACCAGGTGGTGCCGAGGCACCGGTCCCGCCAGCGATGCGCGCCGGGCGCCTGTGAGCGCCGCCCGCGCCGGGCGCCTGTGAGCACCGCCCGAGCCGGGCGCCTGTGAGCGCCGCCCGAGCCGGGCGCCTGTGAGCGCCGCCCGAGCTGGGCGCCTGTGAGCGCCGCCCGAGCCGGGCGCCTGTGAGCGCCGCTCGAGCCGGGCGCCTGTGAGCGCCGCCCGAGCCAGGCGCCTGTGAGCGCCGCCCGAGCCGGGCGCCATGTCCGGCAGCGCCAGCATGCGCACCCCGCTACAGACGGTGCCCGAGTCGCTGCCCACCGACCATGTGTCGACCGTCAAGGCCAACAAGGTGAGACGCCGCGTGCCGACCCGCGGCGGGTCCGCTGGGGCCGGTGGAGGGGAGACAGAGAGGTGGAACGGTGGGCCGGCCGGGGATGTGTCGGATCCTCAACCTAATCTGCCGATAGCTGCTGAGCCGTGTCCTGGAGCGCACCCAAACAAAGTGTGCCTGCGAGGGATCGTTTTTACGCTTATGGAGGACGAAAAAGCTGATCTTGGGCTATGTCGCGATCATTGGAGTCATAAGTAGGGGAATGGACGGTCGCGTTGCTCGTCTTTTAGGCTAAGGCCAAATTCTGTGCTTCTGGAGGCATTTGTATTGACAGCAGCAGCAAGCGTGTTGTCCTCAACGAGCATGGTGAGCCATGTAGCAGGTGGCTGACCAAGTCACTGGAAATAATTATGTCGGCTCATAGTAGTGCTCGTGGCTTTGCATATTCGTGTTTTATTATTATATTTTAATGGGCAGTTTGTCCGGAAGATGCAGGATGGCGATAATTATATAATAAGTTATCTTTTAAAAATCGGTAGCATCTCGTATTCTGAGTCAGGACTGGACCCAGTATGGCCCGATTTGGCCCGCCCTCGGCTTAAACTAAGCGAGGCGTGTGATCGTTTCTGAGATGTATAAAAGAGATATGTACTCCGCAAGGTTCCGCGAGAAAGCAGAAAGAAAATCGACGAGGGCGTGCTCGCACCTGCTCTGAACGTTTTCTCCCTGTCTTGGGACGCAAAATGACTTCTTTCACAACGATAGACATCGAAGCCAGCGACTTGCCCAGTAATTTTCTGATCCGGCTCCTTGTGATTCATCCCAGGGGTGCGATGTGGGCAGATTGACTCCGCCACAGGTGGCCGCCTGTACTAGTATATTCCAGGCAGCACGGGCTTAAGACGTCACGTACATGGCGTGATGTGTAATGTGCTTGTGGCCATCTATGGAACTGGTGGTGTACCATTTTGGCTAGCTATGAGCAGCGCAGTATTGGCATTCCCGTATCTTACATGTCTCCAGCGTATCCTGTGTACATTAACCTCAGGAGATACGCATTCCGTGCCGTTTAATAGATTTTGCAACATTCGTTAAGTCAGTTATCACAAGCGCGAGTCGTCTGACAAGCAACTCGGTTGTATGGCAATTTGAGATAACCGAGGAAAATTGGCTGCTGCTGAATCTCTCCATTTGTGACACCGTGAAGGAAGCCTTGCAGGCCTTGTGCAGGATTCCTTGCAGGCAGGAATACTCAGTCCCAGGTCATATCGCCTTGGTACGTTCCGGTTGTTGGAATGTGTAAAGGCGCTCTCCCCCTCTCGATATCGTCGAGTTGTCTCGTGGTATTCGGTGCTGTGAGTTAGTTTCTGTGGTCGTTTTGCTTGGCCAAAAAATGCGGATACCTTTTGTCCTTTCCCCCGTTACAATGTCCATTGGCCTTCGTTGGCGTTGAAAGTCTAGAGGGATTACCTGGTTATGAAATCCGGTAGTAAGGCGATGACAAATATCGCGGGATATGAGAGGGCTGATTCGCACGCTGCCTCAACAACATGGCCATATCCATGACGGAAAGCCCTGCGATTGGATGGCGTTACTTGCCGCCTTGCGTGCTTCAAATGTCGGCTATTCGAGGCGGACTGCCGCCCATTAGCTTATGCCGTGCGGTCCGAGTGTGGCCGGCTCATGCCGCGTGTTCTGCAGGCGTCCTGGCAGCACCGTCAGGCCGCCGGTCCGAGTGTGGCCGGCTCATACCGCGTGTTCTGCAGGCGCCCTGGCAGGGCCGTCAGGCTGCCGGTCCGAGTGTGGCCGGCTCATACCGCGTGTTCTGCAGGCGCCCTGGCAGAGCCGTCAGGCTGCCGCTGTCCCCTCGGTGGCGGCGGGGCGTGGCCCTCGGCCCGTCTCCACGTGTATCGATCGTGCGTTTCTGCGGCGGGGACGGCGGAGGGTCGAGCCGCCGCGGCTGTTCTCTTCCGCCGTCCCCGCTGCCGCTGCCGCCGCCGCGCCCCCGGCATCGATTGCGCCCGTTTTAAGCGGCGGCGCCCGGTGGCGGCCGGCCGGCGGCGTATTGATTGGCGCCGCTTACACACCGGCGCGTGCCACACACGGCCCTGCCAGCTGGGCCGGTCGATGGCGCGCGCCGCCGGCCGCCGCGATCAGCTGGGCTGAGCGGCCACGGCCTGGACGGGCCGCACGCGACCGGCCAGGGGCGGGGCACGCCCTGGCCGCCTCACCCGACTCGAGGTGTAGGTCAGCTGGTGGACTGGGTTGGGGTAGGGCTCGCGGGGTGAAGGGATAGGTCGGACGCTTAGACGTGTCCGCGCTAGTGGATAGGTCTCAGATTCAGCACATTCAGCAGCGGTTTGATGTGTTGAGGTAGCGGGTATTGGTCCATCTGAGCTGTGAACAGATACGGGTTTATCTGGTACCTTGCCCCAAACTCGGAACATGACGTGACATCGTCGTCGTCCTGACATTGCCCTTCCCATAGGCACGGCGATGTGCCGGAGTGGATACCACGGCCTCGCCATTTGCCTCCTTGACAGCGCGCATCTTATGCTTTCAAGCATGATGGCGTTGGCTGAGAATCAGCTGATGTTGCTGCCTCAGTCTTACGTTTACCAACTTTTCTGAGCTGTTCTCCTTCCATTGGCAGACATTGGATCATCCGGTCCCATACACATTCAGTCGTACCTTGCTGTCATACAGCGAGCTGTCTTCGCTCGGGGGCGCGCGTTCGATCGGGGTTGGCCGGGCATGTAGATGTGCATCCCCCGTTCCGTCAGCTGTTTTCCGTGTTGTGACAGCCTGTGGTGCCAGGGATAGATAGCCCGCGAGTGTTTGCTATGCCTAGCTCGTGGGCGGCGTCTGACCACATGACTGCAGCCGAGCGGCTGACTCGTGGGTGGCGTCTGACCACGTGACGGCAGCCGAGCGACTGACTCGTGGGCGGCGTCTGACCACGTGACTGCATCCGAGCGACTGACTCGCGGGCGGTGTCTGACCACGTGACGGCAGCCGAGCGACTGACTCGTGGGCGGCGTCTGACCACGTGACTGCATCCGAGCGGCTGACTCGTGGGCGGCGTCTGACCACGTGACGGCAGCCGAGCGACTGACACGTGGGCGGCGCCTGACCACGTGACTACAGCCGAGCGACTGACTCGCGCCGACTCCTCCTCTGACCCGTCTGCCTGCCTGTGCCCAGGAGTCGTCTCGAAGTCGGCCCGACGCCGAGCCGCACATTGGCAAGTACCAGCTGCTCAAGACCATCGGCAAGGGCAACTTCGCCAAGGTCAAGCTGGCTAAGCACCTGCCCACCGGCGAGGAGGTGCGTCCGGCGGCGCGGCCCCGGCCGTCGGCTGAACGTCTCCTGAGGAGCGGTGGCGGGGGTGGAGAGGGGACGGCCGCGGCTCAGTGGCGAAGCGGCAGAGCCTTGCCGCGATCGGCCGGATGATCCCATTGTGTGTACGTGTGTGTGCAGTGATCACCGTCCGGGGCGATGGAGTGAAGCAGTGTTGAGCAGGGAAGCGGTGGAATGTGTTGCAGCAGGCGCGGTGCGGACCGCCATCTGGCCATTTGTGTCGGGTGTGCGGTGCTGTCTAGGGAGCTGGCGAGTTTTGAAATATGTGCTGCAATGCTGACTGTGCATCGGTGCTTTGTTCATATTGACGGACATTGATAGCGGCGGTGCTCAGTGAACTAGTCCATGCTGATGAAAGCCGTTTTTTGCAGGTTGCAATCAAAATAATCGACAAAACGCAGTTGAACCCCGGCAGTCTTCAAAAGGTAAGACTTACAGCATGAGCCGGCACTCTGACCTGTTGAGCGGTATCTCTGTGTCGACTGACGGCCGGGAAGGCGGCCACCGCGTGCCCACCCGGGCCGCGACGCCTTCCGTCGCCCCGTGCCACTCCAGCGGCCGACGGCTCGCTGTCCATTCCCTGGCGTTTGTGAGCGATGGACGCGTCAGAGCTGCTGCACCTGCAACTGTAGCGTCGTCTCATGACCTTTATCGGCACTCGTCTTGTTGGCACGAAGTGTGCCGAGCCAACACAAGTGTCTCAGCGCTATCGGCCTATGTGCCATACGTGGTATGGCGATAACTCACTGCTGCGTCTTGTCCGTCCTTTTGTCGTGCCCATGCCACGGAGCGTGGCCAACGTGGGACCACGCGACATGATGCACTGTACTGATTTGTTGTCGCCGCTTCGCAGCTGTTCCGGGAAGTGCGGATAATGAAGATGCTTGATCACCCTAGTATAGGTGAGTGCCAGGGCCGGCGGAGACGCCGCTCAGCATCGGTGATTCCCCTCGTCATTTCCCGTGTGATAACCGCAGCCATCAGGTGACAACGGTGTGGTCCGCTGGTTCGCCCAGTCCCACAATCAGCTATCAGCGGTTGTGTCGGCCCCGACGCCGTTTCCCGTATCAGACGCGCCAGTACACCTGTTAGGTGGCTGCGCCGGGGCTCCAGCATAGTCGCGACGCCTGACAATGTAGCCATCCGCCGCTTGGCACGCGCGATTTTTCCACTTACCCAAACTTAAGTCCTTTTGGACAGCAGTCAATAAGGCTTAGAAGCCACACATCAGCGCTATTCTTCCCAAACTATTAAAATATTTGGCTTGAACTGTGCGGCGGACCTCGGAATGCTGTATGTAACCACTCCAATGGCCGTCCGGTGTTGATGAGACTGTTCATCTGGGGACGCGGTGCGCTGCACTGATCGGCTGAGCCACCGGCGGTGCCCAATCCCCGCAGTGAAGCTGCACGGGGCGAGGCGTCGTATCTCGATCACACGCGCGGTCGTCCGCGGTGAAGCGCCGTGCCCTGACCGCACGTGGTGTCGTCCTCCATGTCATCATATCACGTCATCATCCATTTATGGTGACGCTGCGTCAGCGATGCGTCACGTGCCGACCGCGACTGGTGTCGCCCTCCACAGTGAAGCTGTACCAGGTGATCGAGACGAAGAAGACACTGTACCTGGTGATGGAGTACGCCTCGGGCGGCGAGGTGTTCGACTACCTCGTCTTCCACGGCCGCATGAAGGAGAAGGAGGCGCGCCTCAAGTTCCGCCAGATTGTGTCCGCGGTGCAGTACTGTCATCAGAAGAAGATCATCCACCGCGACCTCAAGGTACGATCTCTGACAGCCTGAGTGGACGGCCACCGACGCCGGCATGCTCTGTTGTTGAGACCGCCTACTGAGGCTAAAGACATGGAGCCAGCAGGAAATATTTTCGTTGTTTCTATAGAAGGCTGAAAAGTGTAATTCCAAGAAGCTCCAGACAGATGCATAGTGAGTGATGTGTCACAGGCACCATTACTGTTTAGTGAAATTCACTACAACGCTATGTTCATAACGACGTCAAAGCGACGTCCTCTTCACGCTACACCGCCACCGTGCCCGGTTCACTATGCGGCACTCGCGTTCGGAGGAGTTCATTTCAAAGGCAGAAATTGGTGGGAACGTGGCTGCTTAAAGATCGTATCGTCAGGAGAAGTTAGGTGCCCTATGACTCATGAGAGGTGCTGCATCTCTCGTAGCAGACGGAAAGATTACTCTGGTAGGCGTTGCCGGGGTGTTTTTTTTTTGTTTGTTTTTTTTTGGTATGTTGCTATCTACTGGTTGCACTGTAACGGCGAACGTACTCATGCTCTTAAGAATGAGCTCACAGTCCTCGTTTCCGGGCGCGCTGCGGGCCTTCCGTTGTCATTTAGGAGCCCTGGTGGCCACCTTGCCACCGAAAGGCACACACAGATGGCGTGCCGAGTGTGCGGTGTAGCCGGCAGCACACAGTGACCACCACACTGCAGGCTTCGCGCCTGCGGCCCATCGGTGGGAGCGGTCGTCACCGCAGCTGTCGTCCGCCAGCGGACCGCTGACCGCTGACAGTGTCTGCCGCCAGCCAGGCCGGCCTGGAGCGGTGGTCACCACAGCTGGCGTCCGCCAGCGGACCGCTGACCGCTGGCAGTGTCTGCCGCCAGCCAGGCCGGCCTGGAGCGGTCGTCACCGCAGCTGGCGTCCGCCAGCGGACCGCTGACCGCTGACAGTGTCCGCCGCCAGCCGGGCCGGCCTGGAGCGGTCGACTGCGGTACGTCCTGGTCTCCTCTTCATGCTGCTGGGTCCGTTCCAGGCGGAGAACCTGCTCCTCGACAGCCAGATGAACATCAAGATCGCTGACTTCGGCTTCAGCAACGAGTTCACCGTGGGCAGCAAGCTGGACACGTTCTGCGGCAGCCCGCCGTACGCCGCGCCCGAGCTCTTCCAAGGTGGGCGCCTGGACCGGCTCCGCCGCTGTTCGGCGACTGTGCGTGCCCTCGCAGTGCGGCTGGGCCAGCGGCGGGCGGGGGCGCCAGGGCCCGGACAGCCCCGTGCGTGACTCACGGGGCACCGGCCGGCCGCCTCGTGTTGAGGTTGAGCGGGCAGTGTGAGCACCGCGAGCCCGGGCCGCTGTTGGAGGCTCAGATCGTATCGCGGTCGGCGTGCGCAAGTTTGTTGTCGGCAACTGTGATTGATGTGTAGCGAGCATATGCTGGAACTGGTCGGCAGACACCGATCACTTTGTCCGTCCCGGTGGCTCAGTTGGTTAGAGCGCCTGCCTTCCGATTCGCCCACTCGTGGTGGGGTGGGTTCGAGTCGCTTTAGGGGGCTCGTTATTTGCCCTTGACAGGTACGGTCTGCGGCCGGAGGCAGCGGTCGCCCTGGAGGTCAGTTGACGTCAGAGGGCAGGACGGACCGTGCCGAGCTTTGCGGCCCGTTAAACTTTCGCCACCAAATTCTGCCGTTGACATGGTATTGCGCGATGGTGTAGTAGGGGTCAGGGCTCGCACAACAAGCACTGCTTAGCGTGAGCTCTGATCCCAGAAATCCAGCCATTCAAAGGGTTCGGATCAAATCTTTAAAAAAAGCAGTGTACTTGCAGAGAGATGAGCGGCGTGCTCGACGCCGGCAGGTAAAAAGTACGACGGACCGGAGGTGGACGTGTGGTCCCTGGGCGTCATCCTCTACACGCTGGTGAGCGGCTCACTACCGTTCGACGGCTCCAACCTCAAGGACCTGCGGGAGCGCGTGCTGCGCGGCAAGTACCGCATCCCCTTCTACATGTCCACCGACTGCGAGAATCTGCTGCGAAAGTTCCTCGTGCTCAACCCGACCAAGCGCGCCAACCTCTCTGTGAGTGGCCCGGTGCTGTGCACGCGTTCTGTGGACACTGTCAAGCTCGCGCTGAGGCCGACGGTGCGGCGGTGGGGGATGGATAAATGTGCAGGAGGTTATTGTCAGTTGTCATAGCGCCAGGCGCCCAAGGTTAGATCGCTGCAAATCGCGTTGAATGTGCCGAATTAAAAGTCAAGAAGTTTGTGATTGTGCATTTTTTTTTTTAGTATGAAGACGTCTGCTGCGCACGCGGACACTGATAAAAGCATCCTGACTGCATAAGTGAAAATTAGGATCATGGTCATCACCAGGATTACCATCAATATCGTAGCAACCCAACGTGAGATTGAGACGAAGCGGCCGCGGAGCACCCTCTGGTTTGGCGAAAGGACAGCCCCGTTGCTCTGTCACTCCGCTGCTGCTTGATTCCCCAGCGTGGGCTTCCGCGGTGTGACCCTGAGCCGTCGGCAGGCTATCATGCGCGACAAGTGGATGAATTCGGGCTGCAACGAGGACGAGCTGAAGCCGTACGTGGAGCCGGACCCGTGCATGGACGACCCGCGTCGGATAGAGCAGCTGGTGGCGCTGGGCCACGCGCGCGCCGACATCGAGGAGAGCCTGCGGCTCTGCAAGTTCGACGACATCTACGCCACCTACCTGCTGATGGGCCGTCGGGCTTCGGATGTGAGTGGCCCGGCCGACCGTCCGGCCGGTCGGAGGAAGGGAGGGGAGGGGACAGCGCCGTGGTGCTGGCTATGCGGAGATGGCGGGAGGGCCACAGCCGTCGTTGTGACGTCACTGTGAGGCTTGGCCATGGGAGGCGGTCATGGTGACGGCGTTTGGCTGTTGCGGGGGACGTAGTGATGGTATTATGTGACTAAGGGGAGTGGTGGCGTTATCATCACATGGGCGTGAGAGGCGGTGACGGTGACGGCGTTTGGCTGTTGCGGGGGACGTAGTGATGGTGTTAGGTAACTAAGGGGAGTGGTGGCATTATCATCCCATGCATGACTGCGCCGCCTCGTCGGTGCATGGGGAGGAGGGGCGGTACGGCCCTGTCGCTGGGCTCTTTAGTTTGTTGTCACGCGCTCCTGCCGGTTATCATGAGTGCACCGCCGCCGGGGTGTGGTGCCCGGCCGGCGCGTGCACGTCCGTCTGACGGCCGCCGCTGCCCGGCAGCTGGAGAGCGACGGCTCGCAGTCGGGCTCGTCGCTGTCGCTGCGCCACATGGGGCCGCCGGCTGGACCGCCGCCGGCCGCGCGACAGTCGCCGCCGCACCACAAGGTGCACCGCTCCATCTCTGCCACGGCCAACAGCAAGCCGAGTCGGCGCGCCTCCTCCGGCGGCGAGACGGTGCCCGGTGCGCCGCCCGGCGTGGGCCCGGCGGCTGCGGCGGCGGCCGCGGCGGCGGCCGCGGCACCCGCCAAACGTAGGTGCCGTCGGTGGACGGGTCCGGTGCTCCGTCCCTCCTATCCTTTATCTTGCTTCATCCTGCATCCTCGCTTGTCCGACAACCCGCTTATCCGGGACATCGCGGGAAGCGGGACCCCGGCTGGGTACCCAGCGCACACGATGTTGATGGTGATGACAATCTGTGGCCCCTTTGTGTGTTCCAGGAGCTGTTGTTGACAGACATTGTACTCCCTCCAATGTCATTGTCCTTTAACGCGGCTATCGCCATGTCCAACTTTGTGTTTATGACATGGGTGCTTGTGGTATCCGGTCCGCTCTTGCTGTCCGCCCAAACACTAAGTCAGCTGTTTCCAGTGAGTATTTGCCCAATACCCCGGTAATAACAACAATAGCAATAATATAACGTCCGAGGCGACCGAACGCGTCTCGCCCCCGCCACACGCCACCACCCAAGGCCAACTCTCTCGCGCAATCGCACTTGCCTGACGCGTAGGCGCCCTAAACTGCCATACACCACAGTGCTCATATTGTGCACGTTAAAGTTCATGTCGGCCTGTAATTCGCCACTGCAGTGATCTTTGAGGAGCTCCGGGTGCCCACCAGTCGTGCTTAGTCGCTTGCGTGACGTCACTGACGTGTCAGCGCCACGCTCCACGTTCTCGCCCCTGACCGGCCGGGGTGTACCGCCACCGCCAGGGGTCAGCACCTCTGCCGCCGGCCACGCGGCGCCCGCCAACCACACTCACTTCAAGCGCACGAACACGGTCGACTCGGCCACCATCAAGGAGAACACGGCTCGGCTGAGCGCGGCGGCCGCCAGCCGCGCCGCCGGCGACGGCGAGCCGTCGGGCGGCGGCGGCGGCGGCGGCAGCGGCCTGCCCAGCCCGGCCAAGCCGCGAGCGCTGCCCAAGACGGGCGCGCCGGCGGCCAGCCGCACCATCGGCCCGTCCGGCGGCCGCCGCTCGGCGCACGCCTACGATGGCCGGCCGGCCAGCGCCAGCGCCGAGACGCGCACGCCTAGCCAGGTGGCCGGCGACCTCAGGTCAGTGGGGCTAGAACGTGGGTCAGGGGCGCAGGCAACCAGTCCCGGCTGACGGGGCGCCCAGGTGGGCTGCCGGCTGGGGTTAGGTCGGCAACTGTGGCCTGGGTCGGTGGCGGGGTAGCAGAGCGGGGCAGGGCGACTCCTGACCTGAGCGTGGCGAGGCAGTGTCTGGCAAGGTCAGGTGAGTGGTCGCGGGCCCGGGCCGGTGGTGACTTCAACTCGGTGGAGGTGCAGCTGCCGCCTAACCTCTGAAGTTTAGGAGTCCGATGTGCGACACGTGGGGTGACTGGTCCGTCTGCTGGATGCTGGCGTGGCTGGGCGGCCTGCCGCTGTTGGAAGCTTGGGGATGCGTAGACGCTTGAGCGGGGGCTCCAGGGTGGTGCCGGGACTGGCTTGGCACGCAGGTGATGCCTCCCGCGTGGCTTAACCCAGACGTGTCGGACGTCGCGGAGATTCGCTTTGGCTGGGCTGTCTGGATAGGAGTACCCGCCTGGACCGCACTGTCCGGACAGCTGTCGCAGCTGTGGCGTTTGGCGCTGCTGTCCTTCCAAGCGAGATCCAACTGCTAGCGATGAGCATCTTACGGCACTAGGGCCCCTTACCTGCGCCGGCGAGGCCAGCGAATCGCATCCTCGCGACCCTCCACTAACCGAGTCTTACACTAACCGCACGGGCTGACAACCTTACCGCTCACGCGCGCGCACGCGCCGTCTGGCCCTGCTTGGCGCGCCTTCGCGTCCGGCTGTGCTCTGCCGCCGGGCGCGTGGTCGCCTCACTTCACTAACCGGGCGGCCGTCGCAGCACGAGCGGCGGCGGCGGTGGAGACGCCGGCCGCCCGGCGCGCGGCCATGTCAAGTCGGCCTCGCTGTCGGCCGGCGCCGGGCCGGAGCCGCCGCCCACGCGCTCGCCGTCCGACCTGCGGCCCAGGTACCGCCGGCCTCAGGCTCCCGCTGCTGGCACCCGGCTCTGTTGTCGGCTGCTCGTCTTTGCTTCGTGTTTGAGCTCCCCCCTCGCCTTCCATCACTGGCCACCGGCCCCTGTTCTCTCGCTCTCGGGCACTCATTCGCTCTCTCTAGCTCTCTCTCGGTGTGACTCATGCTTGCCCTCTAGGTCCCGCCGGCGTTGTTGCTCGTGCTTGCCCTCCGTGCCTGTCATGCCCCATTGGCTCTGCCTTGCTTTGTGGCCTTCGGCTCTCCCCTGTCTCCCCTCCACCTCCGCCGTCGTCTGGCCGTATCAGCTGCGGCCTCGGCGCTGGCCGTCGTAGGAGCTGTCGGCCGCTCTCGTCCGCCGCGCCGGCCGCCCACATGCTAAGGTCCTGGCGCGGTGGCTGGCCGTCCTGCGGGCCGTCTGCCGGCGTGCGCGTGTGCCTGCGAATGTGCTCGCATGCGGCTGCCTGTAGCGGCTCGGGTGACTGTGCGGCTGCCTGTAGCGGCTCGGGTGACTGTTCGGCTTCTGTGCGGTGACAGCGGCGTCGTGTGGGCCTCCGAGCGAGGGCATCGGATGCCGCCCCACCCCAGCGGCTCCGCTGGATCCGCCGCTTCGGACGGGCGGACACGGGCGGAGGACATCCGGGCAGTTCCAGGACCATGGCGGGGTGGGGAGGGGGCGAGGACACTATTGGGCAAGTTTGGCAGTGGCCACATTATCATCTCGAAAGAAAGCACGCTAACACTCACCGGTTGAATAGTGTGCAACCCTCTTTTCCGAGCAATCCAGGGCTTTGCCACGCCATCTTTGCCAACAGTCTCCATCGGGCCACAACCCCGCCAGCGGTCGGGAAAGGAGCCACAGCGGGCGCCGCTGCCCTCCTCGCCAAGGGCATGGCTGCTTGTCGTTTTGGTGGCATGGCTTAGTCGGTAGAACGCATATGATTGGGTTTTTCACAGATAGGCACTGATAACTGGATGCTGTGTCGTCCGTGTCATGCGCATGATTCATGCTTATGTGCAGTGTTGCTCGCATGTTTGACGTACGTTTGAGATGCCTCACGATCGCTGCCTGGCCCACGGTATGCTAGGTTTTTTGGAGCAGTCGGCGCGCCCAAAAACCCAATTAACAACAACAAAGGGGCTAGTATGCCGGATATGGTCATATTACTGTAGTCCGAGGACTTTCGGGTGAAGTCTCCGTATCCCATGCTGGCTTCCCGATCATTGTGACCATGAATTTGCTTGCATTCCAAACAAAACGAATGCGTAAATTCCAGTCAAGCTGTGACAGGAAGAACTCGATACCAGGTGGTGGAGGCGTCGCCGGCACGGCCGGCCGGGGTTGACACCGGAAGCTGCCCCTCTGTGGGGTGTGTCTTCTCCCGCTCGTCCGCCCGTCTTATGGCGGCCGGCGCTATGTGGGGTGTGCCTCCTCCCGCTCGTCCGCGCGTCTGACGACGGCCGGCGCTCTGTGGGGTGTGCCTCCTCCCGCGCGTCCGCCCGTCTGGCGGCGGCCGCCGCTCTGTGGGGTGTGTCTCCGCCCCCTCGTCCGCCCGTCTGACGGCGGCCGGCGGCCGTGTTACAGCAGCGCCGGCCGGACAGCGCCGCCGCTCTCGCCGGGTGCCGCACCGCGCGCCGCCCCCTTCAGCCGCAACATCCCCAGCCGGTCGACCTTCCACTCGGGCCAGACGCGCACGGCCGGCTACCGGCCGGCCGGCTACAGCCCGCACCATCACGACAGCGGCGGCCTTACGCCAGGCAGCCGCTTCCCGTTCTTCTCCAAGCTCTCGTCAAAGTTCGCCAAGCGGTACGTCCGCGGGCCGCCAGGCGTCGCTGGTGTCGCGGCGCCCGTGCGCCGCAGTGCCGGCGTACGTGCCGCGTGACTCCGTGTGGGCTGTGCCGCTGGCCCTGTCCAGGCCAGTGCGCTTCTGTGCCGTGTGACGCCGTGTAGGCTGTGCTGCTGACCCTGTCCAGGCCAGCGCGCTTCTGTGCCGTGTGACGCCGTGTAGGCTGTGCTGCTGACCCTGTCCAGGCCAGCGCGCTTCTGTGCCGTGTGACGCCGTGTAGGCCGTGCTGCTGACCCTGTCCAGGTCAGCGCGTTTCTGTGCTGTGTGGCGGGGTGCCGGTAGTGTAGCGGTTAACACGTCTGCGTTAACCACTGCGCGTCTGGGAAACCAGAGATACGGGGTTCGATTCCCCGCGGTGCCCGCCCTTCCCGCCAAGGTGAGAGGCAGGCGACGCCATATAGCCTCAGCAGCTGAGTGCGTCGTAAAGCCCCAATCACACACGCACACTGTGCTGTGTGGCGCTGTGTAAACTGTGCCGCTGACCTGTTCAGATCAGCGCGCTTCTGTGCTCTGTGACCCCGTGTGAGCTGTGCCACTGACCCTGTCCAGGTCAGTGCGCTCCAGTGCCGTGTGAGCTGTGCCACTGATCTTGTCCAGGTCAGCGTGCTCTTGTACCGTGTGACTCGGTGTGAGCTGTGCCACTGACCCTGTCTCCGTGCTCGGCAGGCCTGGAGATGTGGGAGGTCCCGGCTTGACGCCGACCCTCGCCCGGCCGGCCACAGCAGACAGGTGCGTGGGCTGCCGACTGGCGGCGATGGAGGGGTGGGCGCCCGGCCGGCGGGGCGGCTGGAGGTCGCGCGGCGCAGTAGCAAAAGGGGTGTGATGTTTAGACGCGAGGCCCGGAGGCAGCTGTGTTCCATGCGGCCCCGCTGCGTTCGGTGTGAACTGTGTGGCGGGGACGGCTTTAGCACTTTTGTGCGCAGCGGGAGGACCCAAAAAGATTGTGTGAAAGGGCCTGCTGGGGTGCGGTGATCTCAAATTGGATGGCTCCGGATCCTGTGTGCGGAATGTGTGATAAGATATATTGGCGGTCTTGCTCTCGCGTCTTATAGATTGTCGTCCAACGGCCGATGTTATCCCCTCATGGGGTCTACCTGGCGGGGGCGATTGTGATTGTTACACATTCGGAGTGAAGTCAACGCCCGCATGCCGTGTAGCTGCTGCGTCATGTGTAGTGCTGACAGTTACTCAACCTTTTTCGAAATAGTCAAATTAGTTATCAAATCGGATGCCATGACCACGCCCTGGCCGTCGGAGCCGTTTTTGCCCGACTTGCGGCGGTGCCCCGTCCGGGACACGAACCGCGTCGGGCTGAGCGTAGCGGCCGCGCGAGGGACGCCGCCAGTGACGGTGGTCAGTCAGTGACGGCGGCTCGCCGTGCGCCGGCAGGCCGGCCGCGCTGGCGTCGCCGGCGCCGCTGGCGGCCGCCCCCAACGGCTCGGGCGAGCCGGAGCCGGTGAAACCGCGCAGTCTGCGCTTCACCTGGAGCATGAAGACCACCTCGTCGCGCGACCCACAGGAGATCATGAACGAGATCAGGAAGGTGGGTGCGCGCGGAGACCGCTCCGGCCGCCGGCGCCGGCATCGGTCGCTGCTTGCTGAGCTGGTCGTGTGATATGGACCCTGGCTTGATGGCTGGACGGGGAGCGACGAGGCGTGGCCTTCGTGATTTGGAAAAAGGGGTACGTGTGCCAGCTTATGAGTCAGCGACGCCAGTTTTTCGCGACGTCGTGGTGCGGTTCGTGCTCTGCGGCCGATTTTGGTGTGTGCCGCGGTGACGTCTCCTCCGGCCGGTACACGGTACTCGGTACACGGCCAAGACACCGCTGACCGCAGAACTCCGACTGGCGCTCGATCGATGTCGTCAAAGCTCTTGTTGGCTGTTTTTCAATGAGTGTCAAAGTTCTATCAAACTCGCATTGGACCTGATGAGTATGGCAAGGTAACGATAACAGCGGTCTGTGCGCTTTGGAAAAGTGAAAAAATGACGTGGAACATCGTGACTGCGTGACCGGTGCGGCCGGCTGAGCCGGTCAGCTGGCTCCGCCGGTGTACCACCGCGGGCAAGGATGTTTGTGACCTCAGGCGATGCGTCAGCGCAGCCTCATGCAGGCCATGCCGAAGGATTTCAGAACGATGTAGGCGGATAGTCGTTTCTGTCCAGCGGTGGCTGGTCTTCCGTAAAAGAAAATGGGCCGCAGTGATGTGCCAAAAATGTTATTTTGCCAAAACATTAGCAGTGAAAACCAATTGACGATAGGAGTGGCGGCTTAAGAAGCGGTGTTTGTCCAGGTGGAAGCCTCACTGATGGTACGTCGTGCCGCCAGGTGCTGGACGCCAACAGCTGCGACTACGACCAGCGCGAGAAGTTCCTGCTGCTGTGCGTGCACGGCGATCCGCGCACCGACTCGCTCGTCCAGTGGGAGATCGAGGTGTGCAAGCTGCCGCGCCTCTCGCTCAATGGCGTGCGCTTCAAGCGCATCTCGGGCACCTCCATCGGCTTCAAGAACATCGCCAGCAAGGTGGCCAACGAGCTGAAGCTCTGACCCGTGCAGGAGCCGATAGAGGAGGAGGAGGCGTGCGCGTGCGGCGCCGGCGCGCCGCCCGAGCCGCCGCCGCCGCGCCGCCGGCACGCTCGCTGAGCGGCGACTCCTCCTTGTCGGCGCACGGGTAGACTGTGACGGCCGGGCGCGGCCGCCGCTTCCGGGTCCGCCCGGCCACCCACACCGCTTGGCCGGCCGCGCCGCGCCGCCGGCCCTAGCTCCCGTCTCGATGATTTTTACACTAGTAGATTATTTATCAGAACCACGTGCAACCACGGCAGCCCGCGCCAGGCCGCGACGCTTCGCGGCTCTGATCGGTTCTCGGTGCCGGCGGCCGGGCGACGCGCGTCCGCCCCCTCCACCGCGGGCGGGCGGCCCGCAGATTTTATTGTCCGACCGTGCTTGGTCTCGTCTGCACAATGCGCTGTCGATAGAGAGTGCTACCGAGACGGAGAGTGCGAGATATGCGAGAGTGCACGCGGACCGAGCGTGTCCTAGAGAGGAAGAGTGTCTTGGCGACGCGTCCGCGTGTAGCCGTGTGATACGTTATTGCTGCGTGCCCGGCGGGCAAAGCTCCAATTGTGACCGGGCCCCGCCGGATATCATTGAAGTATGACGATTCTACTGTGTTGGGTTTCTGTTATTCCTGTGTACAGAACGCTAATAGCCCTAAAATACATGTGCTAAAGTGAGGACGGATGCAGTGAGCGCTTTACTATGGCACTGAGTGCTTACTGTCTGGTCAGGTTTTCTGGTCTGAACGTTTCCTGAAAGTCGGAAATTTGCTGTCTCCGGTTTCCCCGGTGCGTCGGGGGTGGTGTAACAAGATGCGTTCAAGGACATGGAAACAGGATCCCGCTTCTTCCACTCTCAATGTGCAGATGGTGCATACTGAAGAAGCGTGCACCAGTTGAAAGTAAGAAGTACGGCTGGTGCATCCGGCGCATCCCTGAACGAATTAACTGAACTGAATTGAACTGAATTTGTATTCCTGGACAAACTGAATTGAGTTGTGTGCGCCGCGACACTCCGGTGGTTACGTCCGTCCGGTGCCAGCAGCGGCTGCTGACCGTGGGTGGTGGGGCTGGAGGCACGGCAGCTCGCGGCGCTGTATCCAGTGGTGATGGCGCATGCCTGCGAGCGAGCACATCGGTAGGGCCATTGTTCTATTACGCGCCATGACCCGCCGGTGGGGCGAGGAGGTTGGCTGTGCGGCGTCTCGCGACACGGGGTGCACACATCGGGCGACCTACGTTGTCGAAACTTTGCACGCGTGTATTTACAGATCGGCCGCGAGCCCGCGCGCATCGCCACGTCGCATACCAACCCGTGCGTCAGACGTCCGAATGCATCCGTTTGGAAAAACGCCCACGCGGTCGCATGCGTTCCACGGTCGCTGCGACCTCGAAACATGTAGGGACCATGCGAGTCGATTTGCGATGCGGATGGAGTCTGGCGATGTGGACGCATGGCTAGCGTTTTGGGCTCCCACCTGGGGGGGGGGGGGGGGGGGGGTCCGGGTTCGTACCCCGGTTGCGCACCATCTACGAAGCGCTAATTTGGCAAAATAGTTAAACGTTATTTGCACTATTTCTTTGCAGTTAATTGCATTCCGTCCATTAAGGATTTTTCGCTGCTGCACTGGTTCGTCCGGACGGACCTGGGACGATCAAACCTCGAGACATCGGAAGCTAACACGGCTACTCAATCTGGGCGCAGTTCAGGTAGACATGCGCCACAGAGGCGGGACAAAAGGATACTTATGACACTCGTGTGTATTTTGAGCAATTTAGCGAATCCATCTCCATAAACGCAAGCAGCATGTCTTATTGCATAACCGTAAACTGAGTTTGCAAAACGGCCTGACCGTATCGTCTCCGACGACGCCAGTACGCCGCGTCAGGCCCCGTTCAAGGTCACATCTGTGCCACTGCAGCGGTTGTGCATGAACATCTACTGTACCGCTGCAGACTAAGGGAGGTGTCATTAAACACCTACAGCTGCCGGCGAACACTTCCACCCAAATAGCCACGCGCTGCCCGAGTCTCAAGTTACGGTCGGAAAACCATCGCTGTTCCGCATTTATAATACATCCGTACTGCCTCACATCCTTGCGCTGTACCAGCCTAGGCCTCGCTACGATTGCTCATTACATGCGCTAGCAATGCAATGCATAGGTTGGCTGTACGCAGTACAGACCAACAGTTGACACCCTCAGGGTGTCAAAAGTAAAAAAGCACAACCTGAACACAGTTACATAAACAATACATAACTGCTACTGTTGAAACCATGTTTATGGTGACCATGTTTACTATAACCATGCTATTACAATACAAATCATATGTACTCAACGATTTTTAAGTGTGTTCCTGCTGTTTCTCCGACTATCCAGTGTGGTCTCGACATCCAACAAATAACACTTAACAAGCCGATAAATACTACCACGCACACGACCCAGACATTTGTCATCACAATGCAAACCACCATCCTGGCCAAAGCTCGCTTCACCAGACGTGGGGTGGCCACGCGCGCACCAGGTCGGGCAGGGGCCGGTGCGGCGCCGGTCACCTCAAAGAGAAGTTGTTTAAGTCCAGGACCTTGTCGTGGAAGTCCCAGTAGGCGGTCATGTGGAACGCCATATTGGAGAGCACGACGAAGTACTCACAGAGAGCGAACATGGTGTACACACCGGGCTCGCAGAGCCTGTTGTGGCGCGCGTAGAAGTGCATGGCAAACACGAGGCTGGTGAGATTGATTATGAAGATGATGAGCTTCTGGCGGCGCGAGATCACCTCGAGCCGAGTGATTCCCTTGCTGCGCGCCAGCCGGAACAGCCGGCAAGTCAACAGCATGTAGAACTCGGAGCTGACCAGGAACACGATGAACGACATCTTGTGAAAAGGAAAGTTGTCCGCCGACGCGACGAATGACAGGCCGATCAGGCCCAAGTTCTCGCTGACGTACAGTATCTCGGCCAGCAGCAGCAAGCAGCGAGAGGCGGACGTCAGCACCAGTGTGTCCTGCCAGTATTCGTGGTAGAAGAAGCCGACCAGGAAGCGCGGCAGCGCCTGCAGCGCGATTAGTGTCTTCCACACCCGTCTCTGCACGGGGAAGCTGCCGATGGCCGCCGAGATGGACGGCAGGTAGTTAGGCACGTCGCAGTGCGTCGACGTCGCCGCGTCGAAGTTGTAGCACAGGGACCAGCCGACGCAGAACAGGAAACCACCGAGGGGCATGGCCACCACAGTGAAGGCTAGGTGGCGGAAGTGCAGTCGCGCCGGCCAGCGCGACCGCTCGCCCAGAAGCTGGTAGCTGGCTTGGTCTGACATGCTGGTCGGTGCCGCGCCTGTGCCGGGAGAAGGGCGTCATGGCACTCTGAGCATGACTGTGGCTGCAGCACTCACTGTGACCACAGCACGCACTAGGATACTGGCACTCATTGGGATACCAGCACTCACTGAGACTGCAGCACTCACTGGGATGCTGGTCCCCACTGTGGCTGTATCTTCCACTGCGACCACAGTGCTCAAATGCTGGTCTCATGCATTGTGACAAGTGACTAGCAATCTCATGCTCCATGGCCTTGGTAAGAGCACATTTATCTGCTTTAGAGCACATAGGTACAGCTGATGGTATTCTGGTTAATATGTGCTATAAAACCAAACTTATATGTTTCACAGGCTATTTTTCACTCACCTAGGTATGCATTGAATATCAAATCATTTTGCTAGTGAATGGTATTTCCAATGGACTTCCAGCAGCAAGTATTAGGAACTGCCTAGCAAGTCATATCAGGCCATCAAAATGTCATCATACATTTGATACATTTGACATGTGGTGGATCATTGCTTAAAAAGATACTGCAGATAGAACATGATAGGATCACATCTGTGTGATAATTCTGAAATGGTCAAAGCTGATGCAGACTCCCATGTTTGACAAGCATGTTTGCAAAGTAGAAAAACTGCAAAAGAATTGGATCAGTGCACATGGGATTTTAAGAGCCTTTCAGGTAACTTAAGAAGCAAATACCATAGCTTCACATACACATTGAGACATGCAACACACAGAAGAGCCATAGCAAATAGTCCAGAAAGGTAAAAATTTACATAATTGCTGCACAGCTCATTTAGAACCATTTTGTATGAAAAGTGAATCAAGGTATGTTTGTGCTGCAACTATCATGCACATGAACACATATTTGAGCACACATTTTGCTTGTCAGGGTGAACATTCTCAAACCAATAGATTTAATTCAAACCATTCACTGATATTTCAGAACAGCATAGATCTTCAGTTAAGAAAAAAAACAGCAGACAGTACTCCTTTGGGAATTAATAGTATCATATCTTATTTGGCCATTGAATGCTGACCACCAAAGAAAATCACCTTACCAACCAGCATAAATATTTCCTAAAAAATTGATGTGGTTCTAATCTAGATTCTAGGTATGCAATCAACATGAGTCAAATACTTCTGCAGTCATATTTAAAGCATCATCTCAGTGTCCTGTCTGTCTGCATCATTATCTAGGTATGTCCCTGATTAGAGCATGTGTAGGAAAGGCTGAAGCTGGTTCATAATCTGATCTCCTTGAACAAAGGAGCTTATCAAATACAGGAGCATGTAAATGAGAAAGGCAAAGGAGATAATGGCAAGAAAATGCCCAATAAATTTAACACTGCCCTTGAACCTGTGGTGGAAAGAAACCACCTAAAATGGCTATCAGCTAACTGCAGCATGGCAGAGCTTCCAATATCCATGGCCAAACATGGTCATTAAGTGGTCAACACAATCTAGGAATGGATGCTGTCTTGACCCGTCCAGGAAATGGCATTTCACATTACACTGTGTTTTATGCCAACCAGAGTGCAGGGGTGTCTAAAACAGTTAAAAATGTGTAACGGTATCCATGGGTGGCGCAAAAAAAGAAATAGCGAAATAAAACACAGCACCAGGACAACCAAAAAACTCCACTAGCTTACACGCAACCTTCTCCCTCCTGCATGTGGCTCAGAACCCGCTTCGTCGCTTGAGGTATGTCGCCCATTCGCTGGCGGCGTATTTATTCCAGCACTATGAAAATTCCACCGCAGGCAAAAATGTGTTGTAAAGCTACCAAATTAAAGAAGTTTTTTACCCACCCTCGCAAAATCTACCGTCATACATACAGGATAGGTACATAAAATAAATACGTGTGTCGAGTACGGAAGTGGCATGGATGGCATACATGGGTCGTTTAAGCACATAAGTGAACCGCAACGACTCAGGGATGATGATATAGACATCGTGAGTTGATTTTGAACAGCACCGTAGGCTCCCAGGGCATACGTCATCTCCAGGGAAGTGGGGTAGCACCCAAACAAGAACACCTTGGAGGGGGGGTGGGGCAGTGAGGTCAACTCCCCCCCCCCCCCTCCATTTGAACCCTGGGGTTGCATGCAATTTTCATTCTGGCCTGTCGATGGTTCATTGCGGGCTATTTGGATCCTTTTTTACCAAAAGAGAGCAATTGTGAGCCTGGAGACGCTCGATTCCGGCCTGTAAATGCCTATTCATATGTGAAGACGGCTCATTGTCGGTTGCGGTGAGCCCGTTCTGGCATGTAGAGGGCCTATTAAGACATGTAGACCAATTATGACCCGTAGAAGGTTCACCATCTACCGTCAAGCGTTTAACTCCATTCTGACTTGTAGGGAGTCCACCCTGGCCTGTTGCGGCTCACTATCTAGTATTAGAGGGCCCACTTTGGATTTTGGAGTTACTCCAACTTGAACATTGCTCCCGCGCCCCTGCACCAAATGCCCCTCGGCTACATCGTCGTTAGTTGTAGGCATAACGTGATCAGTGTGGCGCTAGGTAGTGCACCACGGCGCTGGACTAGGCCTGAACCTGGTACTGCGGCTAGGCCTGGGCCTGGAACTGCGGCTGGGCGTGGGCCAGGGACTACAGTTGGACCTGGGCCTAGTATTGCGGCTAGGCCTGGGGCTGGTACCACGGTTGGGCCTGGGCGTGGGACTGTGGCTGGGCGTGGGCCAAGGAGCGCAGCTGGACGAGAGCCATGTACTGTGCTGAGCGTTGGCCTGGGTCTGAGCCTGGGCCTGGGGCTGGTACATCGACTGGGCTTGGGCTTGGGACTGGCACTGGCACTGGCACTACGACTGGGTCTGAGCCTGGGCCTGGGTCTGGATATAGGAGTGGGCCTGGAACTAGGGCTGACACCTGGGGCTGGGGCTGGGGCTGGGGCTGGGACTGTGGCTTGACGTAACATGGCCAGGGGTGGTGGCTTTGGGGAAGGCAGGGTGCAGTTACCCCCTGTCAAATCCAGGCAACATTCAACAAGGCGGCAGCACACACCACGAAATAGGCAAGTTACGTCGGCGTCGGTAGTAGCGGACCATCTGTGGATACTAGACTGGAGATCGCAGTCCTAGGTCCTAGCCAGGCCACAGCCCTAGGTAGTACCAGCCCCAGGCCCAGCTGCAGCTCCGGGCCCAGACCCAGCTGTAGTACCAGCCCCAGGCCCAGCCACAGGCCCAGCCCCAGGCCTAGCCACGGTATCACCCCTAGGCCCGGCCGCAGTCGCCGGCCCAGGCCCGGCTGTAGTACCAGCCACAGGCCCAGCCCCAGGCCCAGCCACAGTATCACCCCTAGGCCCGGCCGCAGTCGCCGGCCCAGGCCCAGCTGTAGTACCAGCCACAGGCCCAGCCCCAGGCCCAGCCACAGTATCACCCCTAGGCCCAGCCGCAGTCGCCGGCCCAGGCCCGGCTGTAGTACCAGCCACAGGCCGAGCCACAGTACCAGCCCCAGGCCCGGCCGCCGTCCCGGGCTCAGGCCCAGCTGTAGTCCCAGCCCTAGGCCTAGCCGCGGTACCGGGCCCAGGCCCAGCTGTAGTCCCAGCCCCAGGCCCAGCCGCAGTGCCAGGCCCAGTCCCAGTCGTAGAGGCAGCCGCATCCCCAGTCCAGCCCCGAAGAGCACTACCCAGCGCCGCTCTGATCATGTTACGCGTGCAACCCATGGCGATTTTGCCAGGGAGATTTGGGTGCAGAGGCACGGTAGCTATATTCAAGTTGAGGGAATCCAACATGCTAAAATGGGCCCTCTAAAATTAGAAAGGAGGCCCATATAGGCTTGGACGGGCTGTCTACAAGTCTGAACCGAGTTATATCATCGATAGTAAATAATTAACCTTCTGCAGGTTGTAATGGGTCTGAATGTCTTAAGGGGCCATCTGCAGGCTAGAATGGGGCCCCTTAAAGCCAAAAGGAGTTATCTACAGACCAGAATGGACGAACGACCGCTTAGGACGGTAAGCAGCGAGGCGTATATGATATATTTAATTGTAGTTTTTGCCTGTATAGTATTAAAATTCAATTGTACCCGCAAGTATATATTTGATACACACGCTTGTACGCTGTCATTGGAAGACAATGTTTTTTTGCAACTAACCTAGAAAAGTTGCATGCCGACAATTTATGTTTCGCTCAAGGCCGTGCTCTGGTCCAGAAAACGGCTGGAACGAAGCTATTAATGGATGGTTTAAACCTACAAATTAAGGACCTGTCCGTGGCTTGGTTGGGGCTGGGGGAAACCTAACTGAATTTTTTGAGCACTTCATCACACTCGTCCAGCACGCGCGGTCGAATGCAGTCGGGCGGTACAGCGTAGCGGCAGGCGCCCGCGGGTCACGTGACGTCAGAGTCTCGAAGGACACCCGAGCGTCCAGGCCGCCAGACTGACCAGTGGATCGGTTGATCGAGTGGACGGTTGACCGGCAAGGTCGTCTCGTGCGTGGCGGTGGCGTCTGCTGGACGGTTACGGTGAATATGCACTTGCTGTTGTGCTCGTGAGGCTGCTGGCATTTGTGTGGTGACGTGTGTTTGTTGCTGGTTACAGCTTAGATGGAACGAGAACGAAGGACGAGAGCATTCGGTAGGGTATACGGTTTTATGTCCGTAGCTTTTGATAATTTTGACTCGCGCATCGCAGTCTCGCGCGGTTTTGAAGTGCTGATTTAATGCTAGTTCATCATGTTCGTCTTGTTTTCGTCGTAGCCCGAATCTGCATGATCCAGCCGATCTCTCTTCTCTTCCGCACCACCAATATGTGCACTGTTCAGCTTACTGTCGCCGTGTTCATCGTGTCTGCAATGCTGCACCAGTCTGTGTCTGTCGGGTTGACGTCCGTTCCTGTTTTACCCATGGTCGCCCCTACTTTGTAAACGTTCGTCATTGAGCGTACGCGCTCGCCCCCGCGTGCTCAGTGGCTCTGCGGTGCGCATTTACCCACTGCTGTGTTTAAATCAGACTTATCCCCTGCGGTTTTCAAGTCAGAGCATGGAGGCTTGCAAGGCTGTCGACGTGGTGTGCACGTCCGTAGTCGCCCGTCCATCCCTCTGGTATGCACATCCATCACTTCGGTGTACACGTCCATCTCTCGTGTGCACGGCCATCCCTCTACCGTGCGCGTCCATCCCTCTGGTGTGCACGTCCGCCTCGTTGGTTTTCGCATCCGTCTGGTTCCATGTGGTGTAGAATATTGTCTGCGTTTTATGCACGTTTATTCATGTTGCATGCGCCCCTGTCCCTATCGCGGGCATATCCGTCCCAGTTGTATCGGCGTTCTTTCCAGTTGTTTGCGCGTTCAATCCACGCACATGAACGTCCTCCCTCGCCACACGCCTCTGGCTGCGCACTCCTACCCACGCGGGCCTCCCTGGCGTCCACACTGAACGCCCCGCCCCTCCTGTGCACGTTTGCACGTCCGCCTGAGGTCAGCACGCCACCCGTGCTGCACTCCCGCCCGCGTGGGACTGCCACCTGCTGTGTCTGTACAGGTGGGGTATGGCACGCCCCAGCTGGCAGGGGGTGGCCCTGGCCGCCCTGGTACTGGCCCTGGCCACCGACGTCTCCGCGCCGACGGAGCTCATCACGGACGCTCGGCCAGGCTGGACCAGGTCGGTGCACGGTCGGAGCACATGCGGACCGGTTGGCGCGGGTGGCCACTCGCAAAGAACGGAGCCTCGTTAACTTGATATCCGCTTTTCTACAAACGATGGAGGTGTGTGTATGCGTGTAATGGTTACGATGAAGACATCGAGGTTTTGCGTAACACCTGCCTCTGAAAAATTGTGTGCAGCGGCTGATTAAATGTTGTGCAGCGGCTGATTAAACTGATGCCGTCCTGTAGATGCTCACTAAAATTGCAAATGGAATTGATGCGAATGCCGATAGAATTGATAATGTCTTTCGTAAGTACCCACGACGAAAATCATATTTTTATAAAATTGCACGTATGTAATTGAATTATAGTATTATATATGTCCAAAAATCATATTTATGTTGCTTTTGGAAGCACCATGCAGATGAACTGTAAGAACGATTACATCAGCATAAGAAGGCTTCAGACAATTCTTCACTGGTTGTTATGGCTTACCGGGTTCAAATACTGCAAGTTAATAAACGCGGTTTGTCTACATATATTTCAATTAATTCAAAAGTATCTCTGCGTTCGTGAGCATAATGCATATAAGTCTGCATTATTAATGCATTCGCTCCTTTGTAATTCATTATTTCTGCATTACTTTGGATCGGTTGGGATTTCCTGGGTTCTGCTTTCAGATTTGATGTGGACAATTATTTTTACGATAAGGAGCAAGAGTTCAAGGCAGAAATGAACAGAGCATTTATCGAAGAATATACAAAGAGGAAGCGTGATGCCGGTAAGTCGTGAAACGTTTGCTCTTTTCCGTCTTACTATTTTTATAGAAGTGTTCCGCAGACAAAACATTTTAGTTGGCCTTGCCGCGTCAAAGGCCTCGCCTTTTGAAAGATTTGGTACGAAGGGAGCGGTGCACCGTGATGAAATCGCATTAAATTCCTTCATTCCTTGCGTGGACCGCTTTAAGTTCCTTCATGTCCCGTCGTTCGCTTATGATCTAAGAAAACCAGTTGGTTGGCATTTTCACAACTGCTCGCAGCAGTCAATATTCTTCACGCGAGACATTGGTATCAGAAGTGTTAGGTGTTTGTTGGTTGCCATAGCCCATGACTTAATGCGCGTCCGGGTTTGGATACCCTTCGCTTGGGTGGGGGTCAATTTGACCCCTGAGATCTCGGAACTAAAAAAGCTAGAAACACCAAATTCACAGGATGTGTTGATCTGTACGTGAACTCACTTAGGTCAAAATTTGAAGTTCCCAGTTCATGACCTTCGGTTCAAATAAAGTCAAACAAGGTCAAATTCCACGCTGGTCCCCAAAGAGCTGCTAGAACCTAGATAACTGTTTTAGGCAAAAGTTTGCATGCTCATTTAAAGTCAATGACTTTCTTTGACCTTTTGAAGGTCATGGTGACCAAAATGATATCAGGCTGCTTTGCGTTTTGCATCTGAAAAAGCGAAAAAGGTCACGCTAGGCAGTATGCTCCTAAAAACAAAATGTTGACCTGGGCCAGCCTAGGTCAATGACCTACCCTGGCCTTTAGAAAGCATATGGAAGGTGTATAATGCGGTTTAATAAGTTCGAAATGAGCACCATCATCTACCCCACACAGCAAGCTCTAGAGTCATAAAACAGCTTCGTTTTGGCCGTGGTCTGGCCTTCATACCTGAACCTAGATCAATCAAATTTATTCATTCAATTGTTGTTACCTAAGGCAGTATTTCAGAAATGTGCGGCTTCGTCTAACACTCCGTTGTTGGATCAGATTGAGCGATTCCCTAGAAATTGCCTTCGCTGAAACCATGGCCTGACTTTGACCTGCCATAGGTAAGGGACATTACAAAGTAAATCTAAGTTGTTGATACCGGGCAATCCGCTATTCAGTTGTCTACAGCTATGCAAAATTGAGTGGCTATACCTCGCCGTTCGGAAATCATCCTGAAAAACCTTCGGGGGTTCAAGTTGACCCCCACCCGAGCGCCTGTTAAGCCATATTTATATATTGATTCTAGCCTGCTTCTCGACGCTGTAACCGCGTCCTGTCGGCGCCAGGGGTGCTGCAGAGCCAGGTTGAGCGGCTGGGAGAGCCCACCGTGAAGCCCGGCCTGGACGTGAGCGCCGTGGATTTATTCTTTTTCGAGGGGCAGATGTACGCCGTCTTCTCGCAGCGCACGTGAGTAGGCCGGTCATGACAGTTCGGGTCGGTGCGACCTCCTCTGGCAACGGAGACCCTGTCATGCAAACACCCATGATTTTGATCAGAGAGCTGGGACACTGCACCTCTGTAGCAGCCTCGCCTTGCATTGCTACGTGTTTTTCTTTTATCTAACGACTATACTGATACTTGTCTTCAAACCACCTTCTTTTTGCATCTGCGATGGCATAAGTTTCTGCATATGAGAGACCTCCAGCGTGCACGTTTGCATGCTAGGTGAAGCACTCGACGAGAACTACTGGACAAGTATCAGCTGACGCATGCTGCGCGAACCTCTGCCCTCAGTCTGAACGAGTCGTACATCGTCCACGTCAGCCACGACGCCGACAACGGCACGCTGCGCATCGAGCGCCGCGCCTCCTTCTCCGTTCAGAGCTTCATCGACAGCCAGTACAACGCCACCTACCAGCCCAGTCTGCAGCTCCGCGTCGTCGAGGTCAAGGTGGGTGATGCTGATGGTGTTCCCCCTGCCGCTGGTCATACTGGAGCGGTTGTCGGCCATGCCGCAGCGGCAGTGTGTAGATGGCGCGCAGCATTTTGAGTGGAGGCTCAAGCCCCTGGAAAAGCCCGGATGGGTGCATGAATAGTTAGCTCGGCTCGCGTGCATGTGTTTTGAGGATGGTCGTGTGCGGTGCAGTGTCGTGCAACGCAGAGACGTACGACATTAAAAAGCTGAACGCACCAAAGCGTTCTTTTGAAAGCCCCCCCCCCCCCCTTCCTAGTACCATTTAAAACGACGCTCCAGTTCAGAGTGGTTTTGCATTATACGGGCACACGCGTCTGCCGCTGTCAAAAATGGAAGACTGCAATCCTGTCACCGGTGCCTGAGGTGTGTGTGTGTGCTCCACTGGCCAGGCGTACGTGTATGGCGGTAAGGTGTTCATCATGGTCGGCCTGATGGAGAGCCTGACGCTGCTCTTCATGGTGAGCGACCCGGCCACTTCCTGGACGCCCAAGTACCAGGACTCTGTGCTCAGCTACGACGAGGTGGCCTCCGACTTCGCCTTCTTCCAGGAGGATGGTCAGCTGCGAGTGTTCGTGGCAGTCGGCCACCGCCGACTAGGCTACCGGAATGACCTTGTGCCCGCCCACCAATCCTAGTGAGTGCTGCAGTCGCCAGCTGAGTGTGTAAACCGCCAGCTGAGTGTGTTAGCCGCCAGCTGAGTGCGTTAGCCGCCCGCCGAGAGTACGAGCTGCCCGCTGAGGGTGCTGGCTGACATTCTGCCGCATTCATATGTCTGCATGGCTGGCATAGGTGGCTAGCTAGCGTTCCACTCACCTGGAGTGCGGAATGCGTTGGCCGTAAGATAAAAAGTTGATGTGGTTCCCAGCGATTCTGTAAATTTTGCACCATGTCTTTTTATTTATGGTCCACATGAAAAAATACTTGCAAAGTGGACTCCTGGTTTGAGTTATCCTATTCTTACGTTTTTTGGGAACAATTCATCCCTTATTCAATTGAATGGTAAAAAATTTCTAAACTCACTTTCACCGCAAACTGACGATCCAAATTTTCTGTGGGAAACATAATGAATTTCCTTTAACCTTCGCCCCGATAGCCGTCTGTGGTAATGTGAACTGTTGGGGGTGGAGTAGGGGAGGTGCCGGTGCGACGCCGCCTGCCGCTTCCAAACCACTCGGGCCTCGCAAAGAAGAAACGGGATAAATCTCGACTAGATCTCGTGATTAGTGACAATTTTTGATCGTATGTCAGTAACGGGCCCACTAGGCAACGTCATGGACGATACTCCTGGAAATTCCAAGGTATTTGAAATGTCGATATTTACAAAATGATGGTAAATATCACTATGAAACTTAAACAGACGCGACCTCCATGGAATTCGAACGTTATTGATATGTGGTATTGTGTCTCGCATCTATTTATGTTGCGGGGCTTACGTTGGAGGTTCCACATTTCCAAAGCGTCTTGGATTTAAATAGTTATCTTGAAGATCATTCGGTGCAACCCATAGCCCAGAAGTTTTTAAGGCCTAACCTCTCTAGTTTCTAACCTAAACGCCCGCGAATATGTGCAGACTATTTCGTGTAGACTTCTCATGTCATGTGCCATAATAACCATTTAGATCCTGTCATTCCGTTGACAATGCAGCGATCAAGGAAAAAGTTGTCGAGAGTCTTTCATATCTCTGACATTCGTGAGCACGCTTTCCCCATCATTGCCGGCCTTGAGTTGGCAATCTACGATAGCGCGATAGTACAATGGCTTATTCGGTAGCATGTTTAAAAAAAAAACTATCGTTTGTGTTGTCCAGAACAGTATTTTCAGCTTGGAATTGTCAAAAGCTGTAAGGGAGCTTATTTCATCATATCTGATGGCTGCTTCTATATCTTAAAATGTGGAACATTTACTTTTCTATAACAGGGTCGGCCTGCCGTGAGTTCGTCGGCTGCCGCCCGCCATCCGCGCCGGCTGTAGATCGCCGTGCAGTGTTCTCAAAGCATCGTCAAAACCAGAAACGCACAATGAGTCTTCCAGAGGCTACCGAAAATTTGGCGTGATTGCATAACACGCCTGAGGGATATTCTCGGGAGTGCTCACGGCAGTCGCGGTGACCCTTCCCCAATCGTGGCGAGGGTTGGTATGGTGAGAACAATCGTATGACAGCTGCTTAGAGCCTTGCTCGTGTTTGCTTTAAAGCTGTAAAGCTAGAGCGGTGGAGATGTGCTCTTTTGTAATGTTTTCCAGCCCATCCTGACTGGCGACAGTAGTTTTCCCATGCCCATTGCTACCACGCCCGCGCCGCCCGCCGACAGTGTGTACCGCCTATCCGGCGGTATCAAGTGGCTCCAGATGCACACCGTTGCCACGCCCCACGGCGCCAGCTCCGTCACCACCTTCGCCGACCAGCGTTGCACTTACATCGTCATCGGCCAGAGATCGGTGAGCGCGGCAGATCCGACGCTCTGCCGGTGGGAGTGAGAGCCAACGGAGCGGGCTGATCGAAGCGTTAGACGTTTGTAGTGTGATGTATACAGAACATTCTGGTTTGTGGTGTGGTATATACTGAACTTTCTGGTTTGTGGACAGTTTTTTAATCACGTTTTTTGAATTACGTTTACTTACACTTTTAACGAAATCCAACGAATGTCGCTCGGTCGTTCATCAAGATTGTTCATTGCTCATTGCTTATCATTGCTTGGACTGTGCATATCCAATTTGTGATCATAGCCGACTGTTAGGTGATGACTGGTTAACGTGATGGCGTCGAACCCATTCCATGATCATTTGTCCGCTATATCAAACCTGTTTAACCGATACTGAACCGAAAAGCCATATCGGTCACTAATCTCCGCGCAGCGGAACCGAGAGACTTGCCTCTACCAGTCTGAAGTTTCGGCTTCTGGCTCGGGTCCGCAGGTTCAGAGTCTGGTGTACCGTCATGACTGGGACACGAAGCATCTGGAGCTGTTCCAGTACCTGCCGTCACGAAACGTCGTCTCCGTGAAGGCCTTCTTCCACAATACGCAGACCTACGTGCTGCTTCTGAACGCATATGGGGCTGCCACCATCTTCTGGTGGACCTGTGAGAAATGAGCTGAGCACTTGGCATTTCAGGCCTGGATGCAGTCACCTGGCCTGAACCTGGTCTGTCATATGGCACAAATCTGAAAGCTGTCTTTGTCAATTTTATCGCTTTTTCAAATATGTTCGCGAACAGATTTGTCCCTCGGTCACATGTGACTGAACACTCTTGGTCCCTTTTCTTTTCCACGCCCCCTCTGTTTCGAATTTAGTAATCGCTGACTTGCACGTATATATGTATAGACGTATTCCTTGTTTAATCATAACAGACGTATTCCTTGTTTAATCAAGAGCGCACTGGTGTATGTTTGGTGTGTTTTAAGCACAACCTCATTATAATGGGCTCCGTTCATGTAACAATGTCGGCCCACCGCACGCGTTTCACGGCATCGTCTGTTGCCGGCCGCTCAGGCCGTAGATCGCTGTGCAGTATTTCTTCTTCTTTTTTAAAAAAACGCCGCTGCTCCGAAACCAGAGAATCTAGAGAGCACTTTGTCTCAAAACACGCGCAATGGATGCTCCATAGGCTGCTGAAAATTTGGGCGTGACAGAACATTCCGCGGAAGTACCCTCAAAAGCCCTTTGCCCTTAAGGGGGTTGCATCAACCCCCGCTCATCGGGGCGAGGATTGATTTGTGAACATAACCAGCTAGCATGCGATTGTGCAGTTTACTTACCTGCTTGCATGTGCGTGTATGTTTATGCCCGCCTGTCTGTATTAAATGAGACTTCATCGTGTATGTCCGCGTACGCCCCACCCCCTCCCTGTAGTTTGTCTACAGCACATGATCTGTCATCAATTTTCGATGGGGCCTTGAGTGTGACCCTGATTACCGGCTGGCTTGTTGCAGCTGACCAGCTGTTCGAGTGGCAATCACTGGATGCAGGCTCCGACATGGACCAGATGCCTTCCGGCCACGTGGGGATTTTTCACGACGGCGAGAGCTACGTCTACATAGTCAGAGGGGTGAGATGGCCGCAGGCGTGTCTAAATCATGCAGTTCACGACGTGGCTAGAGTTCCTTGCAATACTTGGGTCAGTGTTATTTGTAGGTAAAAATGAAGTTTCTTAAGCGTAGGTCGGAAGCCACTAATAGACTCTTTCCTTGCAGAACACAATCTACTTCTACACTTCGTTCAACTCGTATAGCGGCCATTTCTCCCTGGCCTACCGCTACAGCCTGCAGCAGGGTGCCTCCGTGCAGCACATTCATGTGGCGCGCGTGGCGCAGGACAGCTACTACTTGCTCGTGTCTGTTAGCGCACAGTCCGCCGTTCAGTGGCTCGTGTTTCCGGTCGTCGTGCGGCAGTCTCACGTCGGTGGGTGCCGCTCCATGTCGACCTATATCGCTTCAATTCTAAAAAAGAAAGTAGCAAAAAAAGACGAGCTCGTCCACAGACAGTACGCTAAAGCTGTGTTGGTCAAAAAGTCGACGAATGGAGAGCGCGCAGAATGGAGCGCACGTCAAGTGTGGGTGTTCTTTGTTCTGTCCGCCTTTGATCGCTCGAGTTGCGTATTGCTGGCGTGGGCGGCGTCATAGCCCGGGACCTCTTCCGTTAGATCCTCAGCCGCCAGAGCAAGATCCGCTGTTCGACTGTCTCAACGAGCTGGGAGAGGCACTGGAGGCGCTGGACCGCGAGCTGGATCAGCTGCTGCTGCTGGCCGACACCGTGTTCGTTAGCAACGGCGACCGCAACGTCACTGCAGCTATCACCGTCGCCTCTGACATCGTGATCAGTGGACCAGTTGACATCGACGAGGTGGGCGAGGCGCCGTGTCAGCGGGGGTGGTGTGAAGCGTTTCGAATCATCTGACTGACGCCGAATCGACTTATGATAAGGTACTCTGTTTGGTGCCGTTATTCTTTCACCGCTAGCGGCTCTCTCACGGATTCTATCGGTGTCTCCTATTGATCGGGCGCCGCTGGTATTTACCTCTAGTTACGAAGCACGCCAGCCTAAAAGCAGCACGTAGACAACCGCCTTTGCGGTCAGCACGTCTGTTCGCGTGATCCCCCACCGTGTGGCCTGGCGGCAGCTTCACATCATGTCCAACTTCTCTGGCGAGCTGAGCGACGTCGACCTCGGGGACATCCACGACGAGATCTTGCAGTGCAACTCGTCGATTGACCGGCTCAACAGTGGCCTGCAGAGCGCGTTGACCGTCTCCACCCCGCAGACCATCACCGGTGCGGGACGGCTTCCCCGGTGGGGTCCGGATGCCGGGGCAAATGAACCAGATTACATCCCCGAATTCCTGCAGGCTCTCTGGAAGTAACTGCATTCTCCGTGCGAATGTGTGAACTCTGCATTACGTTGTGCGGCGTGTCGGTCGGTGTTGGTTCGGGCTTGATGGCATTGTTAGGGATGAACATTATTAAAGGAACCTGATGCCTAGCAATACCGTACCCAACTGAGAACATTCCCATTTGATACGCATAGAAGCTGGGAGTGGATTCCATTTTAACGCAAATTGGCCCCCATTTATACAGCAATACGCAATATCCTATAAAGTTTGAGATTGTAGGACCGTGATAATACCAGCACAAATGACTGCTTATCTAAGTGTGACAATGCACTTGATTCTAGTATGCTGCCTCTCAGGTAACTACGAATTCCACCATCTTGGGAGCAAGGGAACGTTGTTCATCAACGATTTGTCGCACATTGGGACTATTCAAGGAACGTCGTTCCAGGATCTCCTGCACTTCGCGTTAACATACAGCGGTAAGACCTAGTGTTGCAATGACTGATTTCTTGTTGTTAGTTGTTGCAAGTTTTTAAGTTATAATCGCATATACAAGAGCCTGAATAATTACATGGAAAGCTGATGAAAGTTATTGCTAGAACGGATGCGTTTAGAAAAACTATTTCAACCGCTGATTTGCTTTAAAAAAGAACTACCTATTGCCGTGTAATATATGCCCTGTTGGTAGTAGGCTGCGATCCTCGCGTGAGGCTCCCGAGAGTGCTCGACCCAGCTGTGCGAGTCGGCGAGCGCTCTGTTTCAGGCGATCAGCTGCTGCAGTTCCCGTTAACCATTCCCTCCGGCTCTGTGGCCAACCTCACCCTGAAAGCGACTGCCACGGTCAACGGCATAAGTCCTGGCGGTGAGTTGACACTAGGTGCGTCTGCGCCGCGTGGTCACAGCAGACCCTCACCAAACCCACAGCATGTCTGCTTGCGCTGGCTATGCGGGATGACATTCCTGGTGTTACAGGTATCGTTAAAGCAGTGTTGTGGTGGTGATCGTTGGACGCAGCTTGAGCGCGTCAGAATGCTACAACAGCCTTTAAAAGTCCAACACAACGCAGGATTGTGTAAGGCACGGGACACAGCGCGCACAAGACGCTATACACACGAACGCGTACGACTTCCGATGAATGCGTATGCGCGTACTCATGCCTGCGATTCCCGACCCAACATAAGGTGCGCGTCTCAGCGGTTCCCAAACCTCCTGGCAGATCTGATGTACGTGAGTGGTTCACAAAATGTCACCGGCCATCACCACTACAAGCAGCTGGGCGTCAGTGGCGACCTCTGGCTGACGGGCCCGCTGAACGGCGTGGACCTGACGTCCGTGCTGCGGCTGGGACAGACGCTGACCCTGCCGGCCGCCCAGCTCCCCGCGGCCAGCGTCGATACTCTGCTCGTCACCAACATCAACGGGGTGAGCCCGCGCGGTGGGACCGACTGCGCTGGCGCGGCCTAGTCGGCGGACAGCCTGGAAATCGTGGATGTCTGTTGTGGAGGGGTGAATATGCCATGTAACTTACAGGTGATGTGGAAAGTTGGTGTAATGCCGCGAAGGCATGACTACAAAACCAGAATACTCGTGGGTCTACCTTGGCTCGTATCATGTCCGGTGATGATGCACTGTAGTGTTACGTGGTCGGATGGTCTGGTTGTTTCAGACCAAGACAACATGCGTATAAATTATCAAACATGCAAGACATGCAATAGACCCAACTGTGACACATCCATCATATCTTCGCCTGCTTCACGGACATCGGTATTTCCAATATACCTGACACTTAGCCTTCTCGTCGAAGTCTCCTGGCATACCTTACTATCTCTTCTCTCTGTCCGAACAGAGGGACCTGGCAGCCTGGCAGAGGGACTTGATCCGGCTGGACCGACCTCAGACATTCACCGACAGCTTGGTGATCAGCGACGCCATCTTCTCCGGCGTGCATGTCGTTAACCTCAACGGCCACCACCTCTCCAGCTTCCTGCGGACTCTGTGGAAGTCTGCCAACGACGTTGTAGCTGGTGTGTGATCTTTCGGTCACAAATCTGTTTAATAGGCATACCATCTTCGTGCGTGATTTAACGCCCAGGCGTCCTTGTTTCAGCAGTGGTTTGGTAGAGGCCTCACTTGGCGAAGTTTTGCAGAGGTGACACATGGAGAGAATCGAGTCAATTTCGGAGAGTCTACGTATCAGGGTTTCAGAGAACGCACGTCCCCTATTGGTGAAAATAAAAAGTATGGCTGCCTGCCGCATTGCTGGCCATTACATAACGCACGCCCCCGCATTAGATTGCTTTCCTCAACATTTTTTAACGCTGTTTGCGCATCGGTCTCTGTTTCGCCCGCGTTGGGATCTGTGGCTCTTGGGTTCCTCTGTAGCTCTGAGAAAATTTCTGGGATAGTTTATATTGTGCATGTAATCTCTTGTAACTTAACTGCCAGTCCTCGGACTCGAGCAGAAAGCGCGGTTTGTGCGTTGGCAATGCCGTATCGCACCCAGCATGTTTTCTTGCCAGTGTTCCGTGCTGTTGAGCGACGGTTGCTTCGGTGACCCAGTCAGCAGGAGACTTGAGCTGGCCTCGGACAGCTGCTGTCGCCTTTACAAGCCTCTGAACTTCTCACAGGCGCAACTGTCTTCAATCAGCCGCTCTCTGTACAACACCTGGTGGCCGACCTCATCAATGGCATCGATTTGGAAAACGACGTCCTGACCACGGACACAGACCAGAATGTGACGTCACACCTGCAGCTGGACGTGATGGACGTCGCTGTGAATCTGTTCAGTGACAGAGTCAACGGCCTTGACCTCAGCGAAGACGTGATCCGCGTCACCGGCGGGCCGGGTATCGTCACAGGTCAGTGAAAGGCGCGCGCTGAATGGTACTGGTGTAGGCTCTGCGTCATTGACTCCGCGTCGAAGCAACTGGAATGGGTATTGAAAGGAACTAGGCCTGCCAACAGTCATCTGATTTTAAAGTAACCGGAAGGAGCCCAAAACTTGGCCAGCTAGCAACGTCCCACCTCTCAGACACGGCTCCTCACCACCACGCTGCATGCGCTTTGCCTTCGACAATAATTCTACGGCTTAAAACACCTCTGGAATGAAAGCACCGTTGTGCGATGCCCGCTTAAAGCAGTTTAGGGCAGTTAAGGTAAAGCAGTAAAGGACTGAAAACCGAAACGGCTCTGCGGCCTAGAGTTCGCGGTAATACAAAATATGCGGAACAGATAAGGATTTTCTGTCATATAGTTGCTTATATCATACACACTTGTGCATATGGCGTTTATGATGTTAAAATGCAACTGCCAGTTGGCCCAAGCCCTCTAAAAATTACTCCTGTCAATTTTTTGCAGGAGAAACAAGCTGGTATGATATAAGGATATAAGGATATAAGGATATAAGGATATCAGGGAAAAGTAAAAACCTTTCGGCAAAACTTGACAGTGCACGCACATATGCGGATCAGATGCGTGAAATTCAGATTGCAGATAAGTTGTATAAATGACGACCTCAATAGTTCGTATCACTAAGTGTTTCCATGAAACCGTGGATGATACCTTCGACTCCGGCGTGGGGTCTTTAGTTTTAATCTCGGTTTCACCACAGCATATGAGTGTGGAGTTTATGCTATGGTCCACGCTGAACACTCACCCATGAGTCGGCGGGCCTCTTACGTTGTTGGTGGCCTGGCAATGGAAGGACGTATGCCAGCCAATGAACGGACTCATAATGGGATAATTGGAGGGCCATGTGGCCAACGGGGACTCCAGTACGGCCGGGAGCCCCGCCCCCGTTTCGGCTGGGGGCCCGATCGGCTGCACCGGGATTCCTGTACCAACTATTGGACCGCTTGTGCTGACGACACGGGACTCTTTTGCATCCGTGAGGGTCGTGCACCCAGAAGGAGGAGGGGGTTCGGCTCCGGTTCGATCGCCTCCGCGTCAGGAAGGGGCCATACACGACATACCCCTCTGAGGGCCTCCGGATCGACCAGGGGGACCGGCTGCCCCCCGAGTTGTTAAAATGGCAGCCGGGAAGTTCCGCGGGCCGGAATGGAACGACCCTCCAGATCCTGTCTGGAAGTTCCACGGGCCGGGATGGAAGGACCATCCAGACCCTGTCTGGAAGTTCCACGGGCCGGGATGGAAGGACCCTCCAGGCCCTGTCTGGAAGAGATGGGAATGAGATAAGGATGTCTCCCAATGCACGGTGTTCCGCTTTGAGCGCGCCCGTTGGCATGACCTGATAAAACAACGTACAACATTGGAACCTCGGTCAAAAGGTAACCTTTTTTGCGTGGGACTTTTCCCACGTAGCCCTTCATCAGGCTTTGTAGCCCTCTCCTCCCGCTCCCCCTTACCAATGCTGACTCTGCCCTATGGTCGCCGCCGTACTTCAGCAAAATGCTATTTACAGTGTTAAACTACTTATTGAGCTTAAAAGGTCTTGGCCTACATGGACATGTGACACTTTGTGGGTGCCCCAAGTGCACTCTAGTGCTGTGAAGAGAGGCTTGTAACGGGCGCTCATTGCAAACTGTGCTGCCAATGTCCCAATAGTGTTACCTCTTCATTATGTGAAAGACAGGACTTAATTTCAAAGTAAGAAAATCAGCGTCCAGGCAAAACTGCTGCAAGAGTAACCCGAATCAGGGCTAGCTGCAAGAGTGGCCTATAGGAACTGCCACCCCTCTTCTCCTACTTTGTGGTCTGAGGGATCCTCAGCCGTTCCGGAGGGCCGGTCGAGGGGCTCTGACGAGCGGGGTGCATTTTCTGTCAATAAATCACATTCTCGCACGGTCCCCCAGGCAAGGTAACCTTCTCTGGCGACCTGACGGTGACTGGTGACGTCATCGTCGAGGACAACGTCACCATCAACGGCGTGGACATCTCGTCGGCGGCGACGCTGCTCTCCAGCCCCGGCTCGCTGCTCTTCACCCGACGGGTGCTGCTCACCGGCCACTGGACTGTACACGGCAGCGTCACACTGGTGTCGGTGGACGGCTACCGCCTGGCCGACTTTGACCAGCTCTTCTGGACGGTCGATGGGGACCAGGTAACCGGCGACGCGATGGTGGTGTCGCAGGACGCGCCTTACGGGACCGGACACCTGGTGCCTGCCCAGAACTGGGCCGAACTTGACGGGGTAGCTTGCTGCATGGCATATCGCCGCAGTTATGGCCGAAACGCGTTCACTAAAAGGAATGGAAGCGTGTGGTGTTATGACTGGAGACATGCGTGATCTGGGTCTTCGCATACGTGCACAGCAGACCGGACAGCCTCGAGAGTGCCGCGTAACGAGCATAGCAGACCGTACAGCCTCGACAATGCCGCATGACAAGCGCAGCGTTCGCAGCGAGTTGGGGGTGAGGAAGAGCCGATGGCCTCCCTTCCATTATGGATATCCGTTTGCCTCGCCTGCAGGAAATTCGGTCTCCTGTGACCATCAGGGACGGTTTCGTTGTGAACGGCAATCTCGTCGTAAACACGATCAACGGCATCAGCACGGACAAGCTCATCAACGTCCAGACGGGTGGCACCATCCAAAATGAAATCATATTTGTGGTGGGTGACATTTCTGCAGAATAACTCCGGATTGGTGCTAGGCATAGCACGAAGCGTGCATTCCATCTCTAAGTCGCCCTTCATCGCCTCAGGCTGTGCAAACGATGTCGTCTTGTGAACGGCCGTCGTCATTTTCATGCAAAAAGCAAACTGGCTTGTCTCGCAGCGTCGTGCATTAGATAAATGCCTATTGTTTGTGCCCCCGAATAGCCCCGTAGTCATGATTGCAGACGCAACTATATGTTTGCTGACGTCATTTCTGCAGGGCAATGTCACCGCGGCTGACGTCACTCTGCCGCCGGGCGGCAGGGTTAACGATCACGACCTGTCTGAGTTCGCTCCAACTGTGGTAACGAGGGGCGGAGACCAGCACATATCAGGCGTTAAGGTGAGAAGAGATCATTTGTGTTCAGCTAACCCAGATAGTACTGCAGAGCATTGGCTTGACACGTGCTCGGGTGGGGTCAATTTGATTCCCCCTAAGGTTTTTCTGGAATGCTTTCCAAGCGGCTTGACACAGCCGTGTCAAATTTTGTATAGCTCTAGAATATCGGATAGCGGATCGTTTGGTATCCACAATTAGATGTACCTTGTAAGAACTTTTCTAAATGTACCTTTAAATTATGAGCTATGGCAGGTCAAAGTCGGACCTATGGATTAAGCGAGATCAATTTGTAGGGAATCGTCCAATCTGATGCAACAGCCGAGTGTTAGACGAGACCACACATTTCTGAGATAGTTTCTGAGGCAACACAACAGTTGAATTGACAATTCCCATTGACCTAGGGTCGGGTATGAAGGTCAGACCAAGGTCAAAGCCAACCGGTTTTCTTACTGTAGGGCTTGCTGTATGGGATAGTTTCTCATGCTCATTTAATATTTATTGAAAACAGGAACCGCACTATGCGTCTTCCATGGACTTCTTAAAAGCCAGAATAGGTCACTGACTAAATGACCCAGATCAACATTTTGTGCTGAGGAACATACTGCCTGGAGTGATCTTTGACGGTTATTCGAATGCAAAACTCAACGCAGTCTTGCATGACTTTGATCCTAGTTTCTCTCGGTTTATTTTGTTTTTAGTTTCCGAGGTCCAAGTGGGCCAAACTAACCCCCACCCTAGCAAAGGGTATCTAACTGGTCACCCAGGCGCGTGTTAAAATATGCTTCAGTAGGTTCCTTTGTTGGGAGCTCGTTAGCTCCTTTGTTGGGAGCTCGTTAGCTCCTTTGTTGGGAGCTCGTTAGCTCCTTTGTTGGGAGCTCGATAGCTCCTTTGCTGGGAGCTCGTTAGCTCCCTTGTTGGGAGCTCGTTAGCTCCTTTGGGATTACCATCATAATCGTCGAAATGTGCTTATTCTCCCAAAAGGCATGAAATTAGTCACTTAGGCTCTATTTACGCTTTCTCTTGGATCGTCACGCTATTCATGAATGCAGCTATCATGAAAGTGATACCACAGCTTACTCATCTTCACGGTGTCTTTGTTAAGGCCTTGTCTATGTTAAGGACTGCTGACTGCTTGCAGTGAAAAAGAGATCCGTTTCCATATGGTACTGTATACTGGTTATGCAATATACTTGGCCAGTTTTCTTGGCAACGCCATCAGTCTTACTAGACAGTTTTACCCGCGACATTTTCGACTTTCAGACATTTACCGGAGGAGTGCAGGCTGGAAACATCATAGTAGACACCATCAACAACCTGAGGGTGCCAGAAGATATTCTGCTGGTGAACCAAGACCAGATTCAAACAGGTCTGTCCCGCGAGGAAGTGAGGTGGCCTTGCTGTGCTGTAGTCTGCATGGATGTAGCCTTCCACGACCATGTGTCATGCGGTATTTGGCCTCATGCTTGATTCCTTGTTTTCCCAGTATTGTCCATTTGGTTTTCCATAAATATCGTCATTTGACTTTGCTTTGCAGGCTCGTTAACTTTCCTCCAAGACGTTGACGTGCTCAACGAGGTCATATCTTCCGGAGATGTCGTCGTCACCAACACCATCAACGGTTACCACGTGGACGACATCCTGAACCTCATCTTGAACATCTGGGTCAACCACACTACGGAGCACGTTTTAGTCATTGAAGGAGATGCTCACTGTAAGTATATTCGTCCTCACTATCCAAGCAATCTCAACTGTCGATAAATCGATCATTGATTCGATTGACAATTGATTGGATTTGACACAATCAATCATGTCAAAGCAATTCTGAGCCGTCAAGTATGAGGTGGATTGCAATGGCTGCAAATACGAAATACTGCCAGGCTTTAACAGAGTGTCCCACATTTGTGTGACGTTTCGAACTGAAATAGACACCTTGAATATCCTTCGGTGCAGTTCAAAACCCTGCTCTTAAGACCCAAATCCCTCTAGTTTCTGAGCTACATGCCCGCAAAGATGTGCTGGTAATGCCATGCAGGCTATGTCGATGTCACCCTGACATTTATGATGCCGTAATAACATCAGTCAAATCCTGACATTCCATTGGCCATGCGGCGACCAAGGTAAATAAGAATATAAATGAGTCGCTCATTTCTGGCGTTCTTGAGCACGATTTCCAGACATAACGTCCGTCAATTGGCTCCCAACCAATATTGCGCTAGTGCCTAAAGCGCAATCAATGACGCATTTAAGAGGGTATTTGCTAAGTAGGAAAATTGTGGTGTCTATGACAGTGTTTTGCCGTTACAGGGATGACAATAGTTATAAGTGAGCTTATTCTATCACATCTGATGCTTGCTTCAATATCTTTAAATGTGGTGCATTCAATTTATGTAATTTATCAAATGTAGAGTATTCATTTTATCGCGGCCATCTTAAAAAGATCGGCCGCCTAGACAAAAATTCCGCGGTATTGTGCTGGGCATCATGCCCTTGTCATTCAACATAGTGTATCATGGCTCTGTATTGATTCCAGTCCACGATCTACACGTTAAGGAGACGTTGAACACCGCCGGGCTGCTGGAGCTGTTGCACGGGCTGCTGAACCTCGACCAGGACACATACATTCCTGGCGTCTTCACCGTCAACGGCAACGTTCTCTTTGGCTCGCAGCTCAGTCTGAACACGGTGAACGGCGTCAACTGGGACGACTACCTCTCCTCGGTCAGTCCGTAATCGAAATAAAAAATATACACGCCGGTAGATCATGCTTGTGACACTACGGTCCTAAAACGCATCGTTCTGCAACAGGCTTAAGGTTATTGAGTGAAAACCTTAAATTGATACGCAGTGTGTCGTGCCTACATTAAACGTTGATGTTAAGCTGTGCGTCGCTGAATATCGATATGTTAGTTTGCCTCCGCAGAACTTGTTTTGCGGGTGCACGTAAACATCAAAATCAACTGCATGCTCTTCCAGCCAGTTGGTGCTTCAACTGCTCTATCAATAACATCTCAGACCTTTCTTCGTGCTGTAACCTCTCGGTTTCACAGAAAGTTTGCTCGACGCAATGGTAAGATGTCTGACGCCATGATATATGGGGTACCGGCCATGTGGTGGTTAAACTAAGCGTTTTGGAAACCAGAGGTACGGGGTTCGATTCCCGCGGTGCCCACCGTTCCTGCCAGGGTAAGAGACTGGCGGCACCGTGTAGCCTCAGCAGCTCAGCGCGTCGTTAAGTCCCAACGACACACACACAGACACCATGGTCCTGAAACACACCGTTCTGCGGAGGTGATCGTATCGGAATGTCTAGGCACTGTCTGCGACGGCGCCACAGTGACACGTGCCATCCCGCAGTTGGTCCTGGCCGACGTCGGGGGCACGGTCTCTGGCACCACCACCCTGCTCTCCTCGCTGGAGGTGGCGGCGCCGGCTCGCCTTCTGGTGTCCTCATTGAACGGCTACACTCTGGCCGAGCTATACGAACACCACCTGACCCTCCACACGGACCAGGTCATCGGCCACCGCACCACTGTCGATGGCTTCCTTCATGCAGGTGCGGGCTCCGGAGCCTGAGCCCTCCAGCTCCTCCCGCACGACACCTTCGCCACGGCTCGACTCTGCTTTGTAATGAAAATGCTTGTTATTTAATTGCAACATATGTTGCAATCGAGCAAGGATCTGTTGATGTGCATGTTACTTATTTCGCTTTTTGTTCCGTATTATATACACTTTTCTGCTTTGTACAGCGACGTAAAAACTTTGTTTTGACCCCGTGCGACTCTTTGCTACAAAATCTCATGCCAGTTTACATATATGTCCAGTGACGAAATTTCGAAAAACGGCTGTTTTTGCGTCCTCATCCCCCCCCCGCCGTCCCCAGATGACCTGGACGTCAGTGTCGTGAACGGCGTGCCCTTGGAGCAGCTCATGTTCACCGACCGCGACTTGCACTTCTACCAGAGTGTCCACATCTTCTCGGACGTGTCTACGACCCAGCTCGGCGTGGCTGGAGGAGCCATCGGCGCCTGCAATCTCACGAAGGTGATTACCTCCGTGGTTCAGCGGCCCCCGATGTCGGCCACAGATTTCCGCTGGCCTTCGGACTTCACCGATCATGTGTCACTCACTTGCCAGGGCGCACTTTCACTTTTGCATGTGAATGCAGGCTAGCATGTTAGGAAAGGAGCGCTTCACGTTAATTAGAATATTGCATTCCGCTGTATCCGCTGTCTGTAGCGCCCTGTATGCGGGCTTCAGATTTGGCAGCACGGTTTGAGGAAGACGGCACCCATCCAGACGCTTAGTCAGAGCACCACTATCGGCTCCCTGACAGTGAACGGCGACCTGACACTCAGTCAGAACGACGACCTGCTGCCGAGTCAGGACGACCTGCTGCGGCGGATCGACCGCATTGTGACAACGACCGGCGACCACGTCATAACAGGTTGCATATCATACGTATAGCGAGTGCCCTTCATCGGTATTTGGTGGCCAGGAAAACAAGGCTGTTACTTCTGTCGTATTTACATGTGTAATGATCCTCGCAAATGCACTTAACAGCTTACGTAACTTCATCAAGATTGATTTTGATTCAGTTTTGATTGAGAGGTATGATTGATTAATCTTGCCTTGCACTGTTTTGTCTTCATCGTCATCATTGTCATCTATGTGTTCACTCGCGTCGAATGACCATGCTGAACATTTTCGTCAGGCAACGTGACGTTCCAACGCCCGCTGGTGGTGACGTCACCGGAAATCGCCCTCTACAACGGGCTGAGTGTGGCTGATCTATTTGAGAATGCGCTCACAAACTCTTCCTCGGAGCCCGTAAGTCTGCGCCCAGCCTCTTATTCGTTACGTCTGGCGGTGCTCTTGGACGTTTTCACGATCCAGGATCGAGCTGTATTTAAGATTAATCCCGATGGAACCCACCGCGACTTTTGACTGAAAGGTCGGCCAAAATTTGACGAAAAAATTTTCCGTAGACCGTGGCACGACTTCTGACTTGAATTGAAAAGCGGCTGAAGCTGGGAGCGCTAGCGCCTAGCCGTCGTACCGTAGTACCGTTCCATGGTAACGTCGTACCGTCGTCGTGGCCTCGGGCCGTACATCGGCGTAGATTTTTTATGCTAGTGTCAACAATGGTCTATGATCCATCCATAACTTGTCTACTTGCTGTCTGACCCTGGTCGGCATTTTCAAAAATTCCGGCGACCTCTGTGCCATGTAGTTAAAAAACCGAACGATTATGTAACAAACAAAAACGGGGCAACAAAGAACGGCGCAAGAGGTTTCAAGCCAGCAAATGTCGCGAACAAGCACAAAGACGGCGATCTGACAGCTTATGCAATGCATTTGTATGATGTATATTGAGTTGTGTTCTCTCTCCCCTACTAGCATTATGATTGTATGGATGACTTTGCGGCGGCCGCGCGACGTTATGCCCGGCAAACGGGCACGCCGACCGCGCCGTCCGGCCTGGCGAAAATCGCAGGCATTCACGCTATGAGTCTCCGCATTGTTTCCTTTGGCCAATTTAGTTTGTGCAAGCTCGCTGACATATGGTAGGTCAGTCAGGTCATGGCTGTCAGCGATGGCAACTCCCAGTAAATGTTTCCATCTGATACAAGTGGGTTATACGAGGGCTTGCGTCTGTGAGACGGTTTCTTTGACAACTAGACAGTTTAAGTTGGTATTATGACTTATTCCTATTGACCTCCAGTCAGGTAGGAGGGTCGGGTCGAGCTAAAGACAAATTGTTTTTTTCAATAGAGATCCTGCTTTTTGGGATGTTTTCTTCTGGCTAAGTGGGGTCAACATACGCACGCAAGCTTAAGATCAAAACGGGTCACTGACCTAGAATGACCCCGATCAACCTTTTTAAGTATACCTCCTAGCATCATCCTTGACTTGACAAAATCTGCAAGGATTTTTGGTCAGTGACCTGCTAAAGGTCAAACAAATTCAATGGTGTGAAAGGGACACTAGTGACCTTTTGGTTGGTGGAGATATCCAGGTTGAAGGTGATTGCATGAGGAGGTTTAAGGGACTTCGGAAACCGATCTTGACCTTAATATTGGTGCATCTAGCTTTCTTAGCTTTTGGGATCTCGGATGGATCAAAATGAACCCCACGCGAGCGGCGTCGTATTCACCCGACCTCCCGGGCGCCTGTTGGATTGATGGAGGCAGGAACGTCGCTGCATTTTGGGCATGGAGTGGCCAGCCAATGATCATGGCTGGCGCTCGCATTCATCAATAGCATTGCAATTGTTAAATCGTCGCTGTCGCCCCGCCTCGTACTGCTCCCTCCCCCCCCCCCCCCCCCCCACAATGGTCATAAGTGGTCAGTTTGAGTAAAATGGAGGCATATTATGTGATGATGCCACCGTTGGAAATCTTTTGCATTGCAGTAACCAAGTTTACCGAGGCTTGAGTGCATGTGGAGCTAAGATTCAAGCCTCTGAGTAGCTGGCGTTGCGGCGCCAAAGCTTGGCTAGCTATAGGCCAAGGAAGGACGCAGATTTCGGTGTAAAACGTAAATATACCTTGTAAGGTTGCTGATCTATGGAAGGTCATATTCGGTCTGTGGCTGTCGGAGAAGTCGATTTCTGTGGAGTCGATCGATCTGATGTACAGTTTAGCATTAGTAGTTATTACATTTACCTTAGGTCAGTTATGAAGATCAGACCGAGGAAAAACCTACGTGCTTGTCCTCTGGGAACCTTGCTTTATGGGGTAGTTTGTATGCTCATTTCGATTTTCTTGATCAAAGGGACGTCAACAGACATCAATCTCTTAGGATTTTGATCACCGCAACCTGAAGATGGAATACGGAAAGAAAAGCTCAAATTAGTTTAACAAAAGGCCAATGAAACATTTAACGCAAGCGACTTCGCTTCCAGGCTTACGTACTTTGTGAATTTAATGTCTCTAGCTCTCTTGGTTTGGCACTTCGGAAGTTGAATTACCCCGTTCTCACCCCCGTGCGTGTCACATTCGGCATGTTCATGTTTGTTATGCCTGTTCAGTACGCCTTGCGCGTTTTTAAATGCTCTGCTAGGCCACGGAAGTTTGCCTGCTCCGTTATGTTTTGAGATCCCGGTGGCATGGTGGGGAAGAGGCCCAGCACGAATTCAAGTTCGGGGGAGACCTCGGCTGTTGTGGGACACTGTGAGCGAGAAAGCAATTGTGCTCACATAGCTCAGATCCGGATTGTCCATCCCTTCGGCATGTCGGCTGCATGCATTCGTCACCAAAGCGCAACATCGGATTGCTTGAAGCGATCCCGGCTGTGCTAGACGCAAGTGGGCAGCGGTGGGTGTTGACGTCACCGCGGCCGCCGGGGCGAGGCTCAGCCCGATACTCCAGACATGGTGTTGCACCAGCGATATTACCCCATACCTGACATTGCTCATAGCTAAATCAAATAAACAATACATTAAATATGCGATATGAAATCTGCAGGCATGTCTCTACGTGCTCTGTATGTGGTCTATCTACGAACCAGACTCCGCTGAGATGAAAAGATTCTTCCACTCGGCTTTGCTGATGCTGGTATGCTGATGCTGGAGATCCCCTGCAGCTGCATAGCCCAATAGCCGTGCTCCGTGCGGAAGCCGGCTGTCCCATTCATATTCCGAACAGACGTTGTCATGGGTTTTCAAACTGCCGCGGACACACGGTGGTGCCAACTAAATAGCTGGCGATACACGCGGAACAACCGTACGAGCCAGCTCGCCCCTTTTGAGCGCGCATGCCGCTCCTGGCGTCTGAGTGTGCCACACGTGCCGACCGGACGGTGTGCCACCAGGTGATGCCACGCTTCCCACTGACCCTGACCGGAGCCGTGGCGTCTGGGTGCGCCGCACGTGCCGACCGGACGGCGTGCCGCCAGGTGATGCTACGCTTCCCACTGACCCTGACCGGAGCCGTGGCGTCTGGGTGCGCCGCACGTGCCGACCGGACGGCGTGCCGCCAGGTGATGCTACGCTTCCCACTGACCCTGACCGGAGCCGTGGCGTCTAGGTGCGCCGCACGTGCCGACCGGACGCCGTGCCGCCAGGTTCCCACTGACCCTGACCGGAGCCGTGGCGTCTGGGTGTGCAGCACGTGCCGACCGGACGGCGTGCCGCCAGGTGACGCTACGCTACCCACTGACCCTGACCGGAGCCGTGGCGCTGGGTGACGTCACGGTGACGTCAGACGCTCGGGTGGACCTGGTGAACGGGGTGGACCTGAGCCGGTGGTACGAGAGTCTGGTGCTACGCACCGATAACAGGCGTGCAGCTGCAGGGGCGGCTGGAGCTGCAGGACGTGACTGCTGGCCACGTGCTGGCAACAGGTCAGGGTCGGGTCAGGTCACGAACTCACGCCAGGGAGTAAGACTGATAAGACTATGGAGTTGTTGTTTTGCTCCAAATCATACGTGTCTTTGGTCTGGGGTCGAAGCTGTGCCTATTGCGGACCGCAATCGTCCAGTGGTACCGTACTACCTTGGTGTGATTCGAGGACCGGGTAGACGGGTGGCGCGATTTTTACCTTTGTTGAATTTCTGCCAACAATTTTTTTGTCAGTTCTTCCAGTCTCACAGAAGTTGAATATTTTTTGGTCCTGTTCCTTCTACAATGTGCTACATCGCATTGGCCACATGATGGCGACATTGGCAAGACAGCCAATACTTGCCAACGGTACGTCAGATGTTAACGTTTCGGTATTTGTAATCCCGATGGCCTTCGGTCATATCGGCTATGTTTCCCATATAACCCATGTGATTGCACGGTGTTTATTTATCTGTTGGCTTCGATTGTTCGGAGATAGAAACTTGTTTCTTTGCTTCAGGCCTGATCAACGGCATGCCGCCATCTACATGGGTGCAAATCAACGACACCATACCGGCCGATGTACACTTCGATGGCGGACTCACAATCATCGTAGGTATTTTTCTGTTTTTTTTCCGTCTTGAACGAGACACAGCTTATCGTGACGTTCATTGCACGACATGCATGCATGCTGTCAGCGTGGCATGGTCAGAACATGCATGCATGCATTTTGCGGTGCAGTTGAACACTTTGCTATTAAAAGGCACAGAAAATAAGCGTGTAACTAAAAACCAAAAGGAAGCTTTTATTCGGCGCTCATTTCAGGCTGGTATCAATACAACTTTCTGTGTATAGCTATGAGTTCATTATTTAAGACCCTTTTCTACCATTTTGAAAGTCATGCTCAGCGAACGTTCGTTCCGAAGTATTGTTGATTTGACGTGAGCAGTGTTTGAGGTCTGGTGTGTGTGTGCGAGTGTATTCGTTTGAGGCGTTCGTTTTTATGGCTATGGATGGGATCGGTTGGCGACATATTTGGTCTGAGCTGCATACAGATTGGGCTCGGTAATGGGCATTATATCGCCCGACCGTATGATTCTGCCTTGCCCATACTAATGTGGCCATTATGCTGCGGCTCTAGACTGTAATGCGAGGAACCCACGCCGTCCCCAAGGCTCCACAGGTATTCCCGCCGTGTCTTGAATACAAATTTCGTCTGACCCTGGGTTCGGACCCGATATAGACCGAACATGATTCCAGGGCTCTATGGCTGCTCGTCCTGACCGTCGCCAGATTGCCGATGTACTGTTCCCCTGTGCTTTTCCATCAGAACAGTTTGGAAGTGGGCGGTCTGGTGGACGGAGTCGACATCCCGGCAGTTCTCGCCTCGGCCGTCAGTCTGCTGCGAAACGACACGGTTCACGCCGACGTCATCTTCGACGGCGCTGTCACCGTCTGTGAGTTTACCCGCGACCGGCGGCTCGAGACGCGAGCAGCGTTCCCCGTTGTGGCTTGGCTGCCGGCTAGAGGCGAGAGTGTGCGTTCCATTCACGCGGTCCAGGAAGCGGCCGTCACTGCACTCTGGCGGGGTTCTGTCCCGGGCAACAGGCCGGCGCAACAATTTTAAAATTGCATTGCACGAGACTACATCATGGAACAACTAACAGGGCAAGGGGTATTTTAATCGGGTAATGGACTGCGAACAAAGCCGCAGACCGAAGCGAGGCCTAATGCGTCACATGACATCGCTGACATGACATACCATTTTCAGCTCCAACGGCGCGGTGCGGCGCGGTCTCCCTCGGCAGTCCCGCTTTAGAGGTTAATACCTTAGCAACCTCCGGTTGCATGTTCATGTGGTTTTCAATAGAATGCATTTTTGCTATATCTGGCCATATTGGCGAATCTGCAGCGATTGCATTAGTGTTTGCATGCAATGGTGCATAAATCGATGCTGGACTCCAATCCCAAAGGCTGCGGTCCTCCGGTCATGTCAAACGGCCATGCCGCGAGGCGTCGAGCCCCATATTGTCAGATTTCGATTTTACTTCAGGGCCTCGGCTTGTGGTTGGTTTGAAAAGCCTCGTCGCGCTCTGCCCATTTACGAAATGCCACACGGCGACACGTATCTCTTCTCGGGGGTTGTGGTCGGCTATCAAGCGATCGCATCGTGACGTGGTAAAGATTGTTTTGTTACATTTCACTTCGTTTACCCACCACGTTCGCCACCCGATGGGCTAGAGGTGAAGGCGTTGTTGTTTGCAGCAGTATCTTGCAACCCATTGTGCCATTACGAAGATGAGGTTTGAAATTGTGGGTGTACCATTTCATCTTTACGAGTAGTAACAAAACAGCGCTAATGGCAATGACTTTTTAATAGAAGCTTAAGTTATGACGCTACTGGAGTTAAATGCAGATAAAAGTCATAAGTTACCTCTTCTTAGACTAAGATATCATCCGTGCGTCATATTTAGAAATGTGAAACAGTGACATGTGAGTTAAGCATCAGCGTCTTTTTTGGAAAGCGATCCTGAATCAATTACGGTTATGTCGGGGTGTGGCACGTTCCACTTCCAAACTCAATTTAACCATCCCAAATCATCGAGCCGTCCGAGGCACCCATGGCATAGCTCACACTCCGTACTCCCAAACGCAACCCAATTTTCATAACGTCGCCCCCCCCCCCCCCCGCCTAAGCAATTTACGGCACAGCTTACAGGGAGACCAACTGGCACAACCGTACCAACAACCAACACAGCCAACACAGCAATTCTCTGAGCAGGCGTCAACTACGTCGGGTGGTGCATTATCTGTGTCATATCAGTGTACGGCCACATGCGGCTTGCCACTTCCCAGTGTGGCTGTCAGGGAGCTAACTGCATCCGAAAAGACATCTACATTGCCCGTTTGGTGTTTCAAATTTTGTGAAATCGCGATGTGAATGCCTCAAAACATCATGCTTCATTCATTGACAGTAAAAACTTTATAATGATACTGATGTACCTAAAACATGGCGAACATCTGCATACGCATTTTGAGCCTAAGTTTAGATCAGCCACCTTTTCCTCAAATGCAAAAGTAGCTGACATGAATAATAAGCGCTCCACAACGTTCAGTAGCGCACAGCTGCACCGTCCACTCTGGCCGTCAAAGAAGGTGCCTGGCCTTGTGCGGGCTTTCACTGCGGAGCCTCTCGTGCTGGTGATGGTAACGCGCTCCAGCGAGCCGCCAGGACACTGGAGCCGATTTCCTGTCTGGTCGTACTTCTGACCCCGGAGTCAGAAATGAACCGAGTCGGAATAGGCTCCCTGGAAAATTGTTAGTCGTTAAGTATGAATCAGCTGAGTGGAACTGTTTTTGATCCGAGGAGGACAAGAATGCTCTGATAGTGTCTGTAAGTCAGAGCTGAGTGGCAGGCGCTGAGGGAACATCCGATGGACCGACTCTTATAATCTTAAAAATGATACCACTTTGACTGATACCACCTTGACAAGTCTAAATTAGGGGTTCCAAAAGTTATTTTTTTAAATTACAACCTGGCCGGCTTCGCCACAATCTATTTTGGAGCTGTGCCTTCAAGCAGCTTTCTAATTGACTGTGGTGTTAACCAGCTTGGACTCAAAGTCGGAACTAGTCTTCAATTAGATAAGGCAGTTCTCTACAGTAATTAGATAAGAAAGTTCCCTACTCAGACCAACCTAGCTATCGATGACCAGAAAGGGCCAAATCCGAGCTGCATATCGTACATTGTTCTTTTCATAAACGCCTTTTGCTGTTTTAATCAATGCTAAGGGTATCGGGTCAATCTTAACTTATATTCTGCCGGCCTCTGCCATGTTCAGAAGCACGCTGCAGACCATACGATGTGAATGTACACACACACACGCACACATGTATATATATATATATATATATATATATATATATATATACTTTACACATATGCGGTATAATACGATGCGATACTAAATCGACTCCACAGAAGTCTGCCACGAAGTCAGGTCAAGAAGTCGCGACTAAGTCTGGACCTAAGACATCTGGTAAGAAAACGCTTCCATGCCTCCGGATCGAGCGTGACATGCTGTAAAACGTTCCTCCGACAGTGAGCCTGAATGCACCACAGATCAACGACATCGTCCTCTCTGATCTGGTGCTGAACAAGCAGCTGGACAGGCTGCAGGTTATCACAGGCAACAAGCACTTCGAGACGCTGCGCATCACCGGTGGCCACTGCGGCTTGGTGAACGGCGTCAACCTCACCACCTTCTGCAGCAGTCTCCTCAGCTCTGCTGACGACGGCACCGTTCAGCTCCTCACAGGCCAGCTGGTGAGTTCTGGGGTTTTGTGGCGTCTGTTGCATCGTTTGGATCGTGGTGCCTTGACTTTGTTGCCGATTTCAGATGGTGTATTCCGCTGTCACAATGAGTAATTGCCTTATGTGTATTAGGCGTACGTACTGCAGTATGTTCGTACTGCCTACGGTGACACATATAATCTTGTTCGGCTTGTTGTCCCCGCCCGGTGTGCTAACATTTACCCAGCGTTTCGCCGAGTTAACTCTCCGGCACTCAGGTGTTTTTAAGTCTTGAGAAGAAATCGGTGGTGTTTGGCTTTCAGCCATGTACGCGTCATAGCCCTCATTCCCTCCGTGGAATTGTTGGGATTCGAACCAGAGTCGTCTGAAAGCAAATCTACTACTTCACCAACTAAGCTAATACTAATGTCTCGTCTAAATGTTTCCTTAAAGCGACTTTGGTGGCATTACCCAGATGTCCGAGATGACCAGCCAGTGTACACTCAGAAACACGCGCTGAGTGTTTCCCATTATGTGTTGCAAATGTTATCTGCCACTGGTCGGTTTCCTATAACCTGCTTCCATCTATGATCAACCTACAGAACTTCAAGTTCCCTCCTATCAACATCGAGAAGCCTATGGGCAGTCTGATTGACAACGTAACCCAAGCCATCGCACTTTTACTCGCGAAGAAGACCGATGTGACACTATGGATGGACGATATCCGGAGCAATATACAGCAGATCAGGATGAATGCAGAAACCCTACTGTCAAACCCAGGTAAGGTGTTCTCAAATCATTGCAAGAATGACCCGTTCATGTAAGCCGTCAACCATAATTGAACACGCTTGTTTTTTCGTTCGTGAAAGGTGGGCTGCTTCTTGTGTTTGTAGGTTTTCCTTGGCGGTCCGCAAAACGTTACGATGTGCTTGGCTATTGACACTGACCCATAAAGTTACAGTTGCGTAGGTGACTGATACAGTTTGTCTTTATCCATAAGAGCAAACTTCACTTTACGCTTCCTACCACATATATATTTATGCATGTTTATCCTGTGAGACCAGAAGGCGCATACTCACTCTCCGTCATTACCTCAATCATTTTACGTCTGCTTTCTATTTTTCCATGTTTATCCCCTTCTTCTATATTTATGGACTGATGAAGACTCACTAACTCGTCGGATCTCATCAATGTTCGTTTCGATAAGATATATTTGAATTATCTGCTCGATTGAAACACCTCTGGGCTCAATGCGTAAGTGTCCACTGCTCGACGCCTCGACGCTTCGACTGCTCGTCGCTCGACTTCTCGAAGGCTCGACTGCTTGACGCGTTAATCAATGCATTGGTTTCCGTTCTCCTTGCACTTAACAGGCGCTCGGGTGGGGATCTAATTTACCTCTCCCGAAGGTGTTTCAGCAATGGTTTCTGAACGGGGTAGCTGCAGTGTAGCTGTAGTGTAGTGTAGCTGCGAGGGTTGTAGCTGCGCCAAAATTCGTATAGAAGCCTACAACTGAATAGTAGATCGTCCGGCATAAAAATTTAATATATCTAGATGTGTCTTGCAAGCTCACTGACCTAGGGCAGGTCAAAGTCGGGTCATGATTTCAGCAAAAGCAATTTCTAGGGAATCGCTCAATCTGATCCAACAACGGAGTGCTAGACAAAGCCATGCATCTGATATAATTTATCAGGCAACACAACAATTGAATGCACAAATTAAATTGACCTAAGGACAGGTATGAAGGCCGGACTAAGGTCAAACTAAACTTGCTTTATTTCTCTGGGGCTTGCTGTACGGGGTAGTTTCTGGTGTTCATTTCGACTTTATTGATAACAGGGGGGCCGCATTAGACACCTTTCATAGACTTCTTGAAGGGCAGAATAGGTCACCGACCTAGAATGACCCAGGTCAATTTTTTTAGGAACATACTGCCTAGCGCGATCTATTTCGCTTACCCAAATGCAAAACCCAAAGCAGTCTTGTATGATTTTAATCACCATGACCTTCCAAAGGTCAAAAGGGGTCACTGACCTTAGCTGAGCATGTGATTTTGTGCTTATAACAGTTATTTATGTTCCAAGGGCGCTTTGTAGACCAACCTGAAATTTGAACTTATTAACTTGTCCCAAAGGTCATGACCCAAGAACCTCAAGCTTTGCCTTGAGCGAGTTCACGTGAAGGAACATACACCCTGTGAATTTAATCTCCCTAGCTCTCTTAGTTCCCGAGATCTCAGGGGGGTCAAAATGACCTTCCCTACCCGGGCGAAGGGTATCCAGCCGGTCACCCGGGCGCGTGTTAGGATTCCTCAGCGCGCGATGAACCGTCAACATCTCCATCCACGCTGGGCTTACCACAAACACCTTGCCTTGCCACAATGGTCGCCCTCGCCAACCATTTTGACGGGATTGTTGCCTTCGCACCAGACGTCCGGTCCATGCCGCAGACTACAGCGTGGACATGGCGTACATACTGGTGGTTCAACGCTTGCTGGTGCCGCACGCCAGCGCCGTGCACTCGACGCCTCTCGGCCTGCCCTCGGTGCACGTGCTGCTGAGATCTCCGCAGCGGTGCACCCTGCCCGCAGGCTGTCTCTGCCGCTCCACGGCCACCATGCGGGTTAGCGCCGGTCGCGGCTGCGTGAACCGCGCGGGGGGGGGGGGGGAGCGCTGGTGGAGCCGGCTCAGCATCTCGTACTGCCATGCGGTGGTGCTGGTGATGTGGGATCACTGGGGCGGTCGTGGCTGACAGTCAAAATGTTAGCATGCAGATTACTTCAGTGCACTCGCTGGGGTGCATTCAGCTGTGTTGCGTGCTCTTGGTAGCTCAGATTTGGAAAAATATTTCATTGCAGGCTATTCTGTATATAAATCGCAGTATTGGGCTATCGATCAGCGAGCCGCTGAATATAAAAGTTTCATGTGTACCAGTATGACTGTTTTCTTGCGGCGCCCAGACCACAGTGGGACAAAATTTTCATGTACGAACTATACGGATTTAGTTGCATGACTTATACCCAGCCCTCGGGCCTGATTTTCACGTCGTTCGCGATGTCTCCACGGGAATGTCGTCCTGGAATAGCCTGTACTTCACCATAATACCGTACGCACATGATGCGCAAGTGGCATTTCTGAGGAGTGATTTCGATTATGTGGAAACAGTAGCCAACAAACCACTTATACGCTACCGCTGCCGATGGCCGGACGAGTCACCCTTCAACACGCAGTCTCGCGGTCTCGCCTGCCCCCGTGTGGCCAGCAAGCGCACGGCCGGCCGCAAACCCGTCTGTGCCTACCCGGCAGGTGAACGCCGGAGGCCTGCTGCTGCAGACCGCCGCCTCGCCGGGCCAGACCTGGACCTTCCACGTGCGCGAGGCGCGCCTGGTGTTCACGGTCACGGCCGTGTCAGACAGCTACAGCACCAGGTGATGGCCTCCGTCCCCGTTCGGCAGGCGTCTGCGGCAGCTCCGGCGGGCTGCTGACGCTCGCGAGGTCGACGTTGTATGTTTAACGCTTTTCGCTGAGAGCGGCGGGTGGCGTCTTAGTCGGGATGCCAGCACAGCACCAGCACAGCACACCAGCACAGCACAGCACAAAATATGAACGCAGCACGCGAGGTGCCGACACTAGCGGACCCTGCTTTGAAGTCCGACTCGCTGGCAATGGCTCCGCCATGCCTCGGGCCAGTATCATCCCCTGAAAAGCGCTTTCAAGAGGTCTTTTGACTGTGAGCGGGGTCGTGTACCGAAGGGTCTCACGCAAACCATGGACAATTTAGCCGGGTGGACGATCCGGCGTTCAAAGCGCTTTCCAGAAGTTACTATATTTGCAACCGATGATGCAATCTATTTGTGCAGCTTTCGGGTCCAAGAAGCACATGACATTTAAAGTTGTGCTGTGTGAATTGTAAGACAAGCAGGTGAGTTTTGTAATAGACAGTTTTATTTATTTTTTTTTGGTTTGTCCTGCGTGATGAGAAAAAACAATAGATTTTTCCTCTCTATGGGATTAACCTAGCAAATGTGCAGATTTAAAATTCTAAAACAATGAGGCATATTGGTTGAGATCTGATCCAGATCTCGTCGCCCCGGTTTTCCAGTGAACAGACACCAGCATCTTCAACGGACAATCGCGTAACAAAGATGCGAGTCTATGTGAGCAGACAGTCCCGTGCTGTGTGTGCGAACGAGTGATCGACGCATTCCGGAGCTTTAGCGGTGCTGCGCTAACCGGCACGCGTCCAGCAGGTGTCAGACAGCGGAGCTAGTCAGTCTGACCGTCAGCAGCCGGCCGGCCGACGAGCCGGACGCCCACCCCACCCCGCACCCCGTCAGCAGCTGGGCGGCCGGCCATGTGACGGACGTGCGGCTGTACAGCTTCCGCGGCCGCGTCTACATGGTGGTCGGCTACGGCTTCGTCCGCGGCGGTGAGTATCGGGCGCGGCGGCGGCGGCTTCACACTGGCGGCCGTCGTGCGATCGCCTCGGATCTGGCGGGACCGGGTCTCTTCTCGTGGATTGGCGCGTGCTCTGATAGGTAGCCCCCAACCTTGTCTCGGCGCGACAGTTAACGGACAATGTGCGAATTGTAGCATCACAATTTTGAGGTGCATGTGTGGCCTGATGAGAGGATTAAATTCATCTGTGCAATCTTTCCTCGTGCTATCTTTCTGTCACGCGTTCTTTACCAGCTCGCGGTGTGATGTTGCAAGCCTTTTTGTCTGGTCGGCGCTTCCTGCCGTTGACCTGTTGCCAAACTACCCCAGTTTGACCCCATCCCGCGGATCATGGCCTGTGTGTCCGCCAGACACTCCCAGACACTCCCAGGCACTCCCAGATCAGTTTGGAACACCCTAACGCCGGGCAGACCTGACCTTGGCCGCGCCTGCCGCAGGGGGACCGGGTCGTTGCCCAGCCACGCAGGTGTTTGTGCTGCAGCCGGCCGGCTGGCTGGAGGTGCAGTCGCTGCCCGCCACAGTGCGTCTCCTCCCTCGACTTGACCCTGGTGGACGAGCTGCCGCACCTACTCGTCGTCAACAGGTGTTGTTCGCGGCGCCGGAGCGCTGGGGGTGACGTGGGGTCACGGCGTCTGCTACGGTGAAGCGTTTTGCCTCTCTCTGACGGGGCCGTCTGATTTGAAGTGGTGACTGGAGAGATTTTTTGCCGTCTGCCTTGACGAGGCATGACAACATTGCGATCATCTGTGATGTTTTTGGTTTTGTGTCGCTTTGCTATTGTTGCTGAATGTGTGCTATTTCCATTACAAACATGTGTGCTATTTCCAAAACAAACCATCATTAATGATTCCGTTTGTATTTTTCCGTGGGAGAGAATGCTGATGCACAAAGGGCAAAAGATAGGAAAAATTTTGCAATAGCTGGGAGACATGATGTCATTTCAGGTTCAGCCGCCAGCCGCTGTCTCTTCAAGGAGAAATCCAGCTATGGGTTTGGGATGCAGATCTCAACAAGGTGAGGTATTTGAATCAATGTGCACTTGCATTTCCCTCTCTGCGATTGGAAGTGCCACACATTGCGACCACTGTTGATGTGTTCTTCACCCTTTGGTAGCAACGTTTTGTTGTGTTTGTGGGTCGTCATTATCTTTGGTGGCTTCTGTCTGCATCAGTCCCCGTGTCCTGTCGTTCTGCAATTTTATTCAATCCCGGCCGAACTCCTCCAGCGTCCTCTTCTGACCGTCCACGTTAGACGTACTTAAACATATATGTGCATATATATATATATATATATATATATATATATATATATATATATATATATATATATATATATAGAAACAGACGGCCCGGCCGGGCCATAACTCTTCCCGCTGCCGGATCCTGCGCGACTCAAGGCGCTCGAGGCGGGTCAGTCATCTTACCTCCCAGGCATGCGATAATATAATGAAACACATCATTACATTACATCACCTTCATTACAGGTCAAGTCAAAAGCTCGTGTCACGGTATATTGATGAGACAAGTATTTGGAGTTGTTTGAACTTCAATTCGAAAACGTGACTTGTGTGAGTAGAAGTAAGATTGCCCCCCCCCCCCCCCCCGTCCGCCTCAAAAAGCCATAACAAGGGGTTTGACGCTGGTAATAGTATTAACTGAAATTGAGACGTGACCATCGCGTTTATACGAACATTTTACGTCCATATGCCCTGTTGCGAGACGTGACCGACATGACGTTCGGCAGTTTGTGGAGCGGAAGGTGCTGTACCACGCCGACATTCAAGCGGTGTTGTTCCTCCACGCGCACAGCAAGGTCTTTGTGGTGGTGGCTGATTTGGATGGTCTCACGGTAAGACGTTGTCATTACTATTTTCAACAGGCTATGGCTACACCGTGAGAACACATGCTTTACGCGCGAGGAGTGCCGTATGCCGCAATGGTGGGCTTAAAGGCAGTTCTTGTATTTCACGGATGATGACTCAAGTTGAGGAGCGTGTGCCCTGCTGCGCATCTCCCAGCGGGCAGTTTGTCGAGTTTGTCCTGGTGCGCATCTCCCAGCGGGCAGTTTGTGGAGTTTGTCCTGCTGCGCATCTCCCAGCGGGCAGTTTGTGGAGTTTGTCCTGCTGCACATCTCCCAGCGTCGGCCGTACCGCCACTGACTGTGTGCCATCGCCGCGTCAGCTGCTGGAGTACGTGCCCCGTCTGCGGACGTACATGGTGTGCCAGTACCTGGGCGAGGAGGGCGTGTCGGCGGTGACTTCGTTTGTGCTCGGCGCCGAGAGCTACCTGGTGGTCTTCTCGGCCAAACTGAACGAGATCGTGGTCTACTTGGTCACGCATCAGGTGAGAGAGCGATCACGCAGCTGCGGTGACGCGCGAGGGTCGTGATCGTGATGTCTTTTGGCGATCTGCCATCAGTACGTGCCTGCTGCCGTCGAACGCTGTCGTGATCGTGATGTCTTTTGGCGATCTGCCATCAGTACGTGCCTGCTACCGTCGAACGCTGTCGTGATCGTGTGGCCGTGACTGGCAGTGACCTCGCCGTCTTAATAAGGGGCAGAATCTGGCCATCTCCAGTTTATCCGCAATACGTTCACGCCATGAGAACGTGGTTTAGACGTAGATGAGGCAATTCGGTTTAGTTGCTAGACCTTCTGGATCTAGAGATGGATAAATGCTGCTAGTCCAGTTGTGATTGCGGCCTTCAGAACAGATCGGTGGTACAGGCCCGGCCATAACACACTCATATGCAGGGGAGGTAGGGCAGAAGTAAGGGCCTGGTTTTCCTCGATGAATGCTTTTTATAAGCTAAATGTAATCGTCTACCGTGCACGAAGCTGGTAGGAAATACAAAAATAGCTATGGAGATGTTGATGTGGGAGTGGCCATTGCCAAGTACACGTGAGATCGGAGCCAGGTGTGCGAACTGCTCTGCGTTCAACCAACACGCGAGCTGCGGGCAGTCGCGGACGGCGTCTCCGCCGCGGCATGGTGTGTGACGTCTGAGCGTGGGTTGGCGAAATGTGCGGCGGGCACGGCATGCGTGTCTCAGCTGAGCTAAGGGGTCACGAACCAAGAGATTTGCTGGTTCGTTCAATGCCTTACTGGCTTGTGAATTAAACGTCAGCTTGATATTCCTTGTAGCGGCTAACGCTATGGTGGTAAAGTCTCCAAAGGTCTTATGGTCTTGTCTGCCTTATGGTTGGTATGGCCGCCTGCTAGCTTTCAATTAATATAGTAATTGCTGATACTGATGTGTTGATTACTATATATTGTATATCATTTATGTTGTATCATATATGCTATATTTTATGTATTGCATTTTATATTTTGTATTACTGGTAAATTCATTGTTCCTCTCACTATAATTGTATTACTTTACGCAACTTTTGTTCTTTTTGGACTCACTTGGTCGGCACACCGAGCTCGCTCGACACTTTTGGGGTGCACTTGGCTCGTTCGCGTCAGAGCATGATTACATTGGTGTAGTTTTTCTTTGCCCATCGCGTGAGTGCAGTTTTTGTTTGCTTATCACATGAGCCTTGCTTTCCTGTGCTCATTTATCATATTATCATATCCTGGTTCATTACATTAGCTGATCACATTAGCCAATCGTCTTTTCGTACTCTGTCTGTGCAGAATCGTGCCCAGTCAGTCTCACGCGACCGCGTTTCGCTCAGCCTGCGGCTCAGTTGCGGTCTCGCCGAGTCTCCGTTCCGCTCAGCCCTGGTTCCGTCCAGCCTCAGTCCGCTCAGCTCAGTAGCATCCCTCTCAGTCCGCTCAGCTCAGTAGCATCCCTCTCAGTCCCGCTCAGCTCAGTAGCGTTCCTCTTAGTCCCGCTCAGCTCAGTAGCGTTCCTCTCAGTCCCGCTCACCTCAGCAGCGTCCCTCTCAGTCCCGCTCACCTCAGTAGCGTCCCTTTCAGTCCCGCTCACCTCAGTAACGTCCCTTTCAGTCCTGTTCAGCTAAGTAGCGTCCCTCTCGGTCCCGCTCACCTCAGTAGCGTCCCTCTTAGTCCCGTTCAGCTCAGTAGCGTCCCTCTCAGTCGCGCTCAGTCGTCCATGTCTTCAGTGTCGATCGCTCGCGCCCGCCGATGACGGCCGTGGCATGTGCCGTTCAGGAGGGGCTGGAGCGACACTGCCAGTACCCGGCTACCTCCGTCCGCTCGCTGGCCGTATACACGTGGCAGCTGCAGCTGTTCGTGGTGGCCGTGCACGAGCATGGCGTGCTCGTCTACGCCGTGGTGGTGCGGGGCCGCGTCAGCCTCGTCGCCACGTCTGGAGCCCGCCTGCCGCTGCTCGCCTGAGCACGAATGACGTCAGCCTGACGTCACTGTTGCTGCTTGACACGGCCACCTCGCTGGCGGCCCGCCCCGTCCCGAGTTCAACCGGTGACGTCATGGTCGTAACGTCGATGTCTTGTTCGGTGGTGGAAACGGGTGGGGGCGCCGCCGGATTGTTGTCAACGCGTTGTTAACCCTGTTATGAACGTCTAGCTGCGACGAGTTAAAATATAATTGTGACCAATGGATTAGTCAGGTGCGTGGAGTCGCATAGCTTGTTCAAAGACCGAAGGTTCCGGCGGTCTGAGAAGAGTAATACACGACAGCCACGGAAACGACAGCCACGGAAACGACAGCCAACGACAGCCACGGAAACGACAGCCACGGAAACGACAGCCACGGAAACGACAGCCACGGAAACGTTGCGGTCATGTCTGCGAAAGGGACGGAACGTCGTCAAAGCTGATCCGGACCTGGAAAACGAGAGCAACATCGAAAACCTACTTACATAAAGTATTTGCACAACATTTATTTACACGAATAGTGTTAATGCGGAGAATACCTACACGCGAAATATCGACACGTCAAAAGCGTTACGCAGAATGTCGGCAATATCTCCACGCAGGCTAACGAAAGAAGCGGACGCTAAATATCAATACGTTAGATTTAACAGGTAAAATGCTGACAAACAAAACATCCGCTGGGCAAATCAGTTGATCTAGCTGTTTGGTGCTCGGGCTCTGGTATATATAAAATATATGGATACGTTTACAAAACGTTGTCATAGTTAACTGCGTACTTATAGCACATGTCTAGAAGTGGAAAGCAATGCACTAAATTCATTGTAGCTAGTCTGAATTAGTCCCGAACCGTGTGCGCTCGATGCATCCAGTTGTGCTTTGCGCAACTCGCCCTGGGCTTTCTCTTGTCTGGCGCGGACTAAAGCGAAACGAGGGAATCTGGCTGGCGCGGACTAAAGCGAAACGAGGGAATCTGGCTGGCGCGGATTTAAGCGAAACGAGGGAATCTGGCTGGCGCGGACTAAAGCGAACGAGGGAATCATGCCTGGGCCGGACTAAAGCGAAACGAGGGAATCGGCTGCGCCGGAATTTAAGAAAACGAGGGAATCTCTGGCTTGCGCGGACTAAAGCGAAACGAGGAATCTGGCTGGCGCGGACTAAAGCGAAACGAGGGAATCTGGCTGGCGCGGACTAAAGCGAAACGAGGGAATCTGGCTGGCGCGGAATTAAGCGAACGAGGAATCTGGCTGGCGCGGACTAAAGCGAAACGAGGGATCTGGCTGCGCGACTAAAGCGAAACGAGGGAATCTGGCTGGCGCGGATTTAAGCGAAACGAGGGAATCTGGCTGGCGCGGACTAAAGCGAAACGAGGGAATCTGGCTGGCGCGGACTAAAGCGAAACGAGGGAATCTGGTTGCATCTATAGGAGGTAAAGATGGTAGTGGGGCCTAAACTGTAATTGTTCCCGGTACATGTGACGCCCGGTATAGAAGAGCATGCGCTCCAAAGGACGGCATCCACCCACGCTGAGTCGTACCAAGGCCTGGGAGTAGCGGCCTCCATAGGCGTTATACCAAGCATCTGAGGGCGACATTTCAGTTCTTCGGCGGTGGATAACCATGCGCCGAAAAGAGGCGCATTAGTGTTTGTGGGCAGCATACCAGGCCTCTATCAGCTTCATGCGATTTATTCAGTCAGAATGTCCGGGATCGTTAGAAATTTACTTTTACTGTTCTTAGATTAATTTTAGTTTAGGAATGTCTTCTTGGTATTCATTCTTAGATGTTTCTTGTTTCATTTATATTCTTGCTGGACATTTATAGTTACTTAAATATCACTTCTTTACTTAAATATCACTTCTTTATTTGAGTCAAGTACCGAGGATGCGCGTATGTTGCCGGAGCTACGAGCTTTAAACTGTTAACATTATGGTAGCCGTTGTACATGGAATGGCATGTGAAATGTGGTTGCGAATCAATACCTGTACACTGGATGGCCCACACTGAAAACTATTACCATTTGCCAGCGCGTCAAACTGAGGTAAGCGTATAAAAAGCACGTAGACGTTTGTCACCACCCGCCGGCTGGTAAATGCTTCGAATTTACGAACGTTTTGAGGGAAAACTCTTGACGTCATCACCTGTAGACGGTTATCACCTTCTGTTACCTTTTGCAGAACAGTCGGTCAGTTTGATTTGCCATTTACCAGGAGGTGACCAAGAGGCTGACAATCCACCGAGTGGTAAGGCCCCTTGCATTTGCCATCGCCTCGAGGATTACCTTCATCACCCTCTAAAGACGAGCGGTGTCTCTGATGTCGTCCTTGCAGTGAGTGTCGACCCTCTTGCTTCACCACTCACCCGAGGGGAGCCACCGTGGCCGACGCTCCATGCGGCAAGCTCACAGAAGTTTTCTGGTCACCTACGGGGTGTTAATGACGTTTGATTTGTCACCACTTGCATGGTAATATAGCCAGTACGGACATAACAAATAATGATTCCAGCGGCGGACGGCGCTGAGCCTTTCACTTGGACGAGCTTTTCATCACATGTGAGCAGAACCTGCATACAGCACAGACCAACCATAAAGAATCGTGCCACTTATGACATGAAGTGGTATGATTTAAATGGCATTCTGACATCGTTCATTTCATTTTGGAGCAGTTGTTTTGCATGTGTCATTGTGTAATTACATTTGCAATATACCAATTTACTTTGCGATTCCGAATGGGATAGCATGATGCATTTTTTAGATGTAGAAATTGTGCTTGAAGTGAATTAGGTTAAGCGACCACAGGTTGAACGTATGGAAGGTCACTTACGTTAATGATCTCGTCGTACCAACATTGCGCTCATGTGCCCTCGGGAGCTGCAGGCCTTAAAGCCTAGTCAGCGTAAGGTGTGAGTGGAAAGCTGATGCCGTCTTCGCAAAAGGAGCTTCATTCACGCTGCGCAAAGTTCCTTCCTATGCCGCAGCTTTTAAAAATGCATACGACTTGCCACATCTGCGTCAAAAGCGCATCGAGCTGGAGCACGTTCTTGAAAAACATCACGACACTGCGTGTCCGCTCTAGTACTAGCTCCGGCTCTAGCTCTGGCTCTAGCCGCTCTGGCTCTAGCCGCTCTGGCTCTAGCACTAGCTCTGGCTCTAGCTCTAGCTCTGGCTCCAGCCGCTCTGGCTCTAGGATTAGCTCTGGCTCTAGCACTAGCTCTGACTCTTGCGCTCAGAATCCAACGGTCGCACGCACACACCTTAATAACGTACGCGCGACAGCCCACCCAGAAACGCCGCCGCCGAGCGCATATGGACAATCTGGCAGCTACTGCTGGGACTGAGCATTCCTCGCATTCTTTGATGGGACGAGGCGGCGTCGGCTCTTCTCTGCACGGCACCCGGCTTAATATCTTCTTAATACCACCCACTCGGTCCCACCTCGCCGCGGTCCCGCGACAAAAAAGCCGGCGGCGAGACGGCGCCAGCGTCGGGCGCCGCCTACGCCGTCTGGCCCCGCCGCTCCCGGCTCTCCCACCATCCGACGAGCCGCCTGACGTCTGCCCCTCGGCGACAGGGGCAGCCGCTATCTTCATTCACGAGTCGGGGCGGGCCGCATCGACTCACCATCCTCGCTGGTGTCCGGAGCGTCGACCGGATCGATTCATGCTGGTGTTCAGACTTTGGTTGGGTCTGGATCCTGATCAGAGTCCAGAGAACCACAGGCCGGATCGTCGTTAGTATCCGAACCACATTCGCGTTGGGGCGGTGCTTCTCGGTGAGCTCTCAGTCATTGTTTGCATTGGTACCTTGCGCTGCAATATTACCTTGCTCATCAATTAACGTTTTTAAGGCATCAGACATCGTACGTAATCATGAAATGAATACTTCAGGGACATATTACCATTTTACCTTTAAACCGTAATAATTACAATAACGACAGCAGACGTCCGTCAAACCTCGGTCTGCCACACCGATGGCGCATTACTGACGCATCAAGACCATTCCGACGGATCAACCAGCGAATGCTCTTGTACTGATGTATGGACTCCCGTATATTGATGATATGTGCCATGCAAATATCTCAGGAAAATAAGCATGCCACTATCATGGCTGGGGCAAATGATATGCAGCCACCGGCAGCATTAGCGTATTCCTTATAAGGTATATTCTTTGTCGGGATCCTCCCACAAATAGAGTTACGCTCCAAGGCATCAATCGTTAGCAATCATCGCAATGCTCCTGTAAGTGGTGCAGCGTTATGTTGGCCGTTGAGCTTAACAAATCTACACAAGATAATCATTGTTATTCCCAATTTTCACTGATGTCATCATCGGGCGTAAAATGAAATAGCAGTGTTTGATACTAGAATCGCTTTGTTTTGGCGTGAAGAGATCCTCGCCCGATAATAAAAATATCCACCCATCAATCCACGCTTCGGGCTGAATAATTATCCGCCCGGAAGTGCATATGAAATCGACCCACAGTTACGGTCGCGAGCGCCAGTTTGCTCGCGCGCGAGAACAGTTGGTGCTGATGCGACAGCCGACCGGTGTGGTGCGTACGTGCGTTTCGATCAGAGAGGCCGAGGATCGCCACAAGGGGCAGTTTAAGCATCGGTGTTTTGTTGATGTTTCGTTTCACAGTGCTTTTAAAAGATAAAAGCGATTCGAACACTTTTGTTGGTAAAATCAATGATTTAGCCCTCAAGTGCCTGCAACAATGCCGTTGCTGCGTTATACAATGGCACAGCAGTGATGGAACGGTTTAAATGAAAGGCCTCATGCGATTTTCATTTAGTATATTTCCACCCCTATACTTGCGCGCCTGGTCGAAAATGCCCGTGACTTTAACTTGGAAAGCGGTGCCATAAACCACACTATCTACAAAACGGTTTTCACCCATCTTCAAAGATCGCGGTGAACTGCTTCCGGAACCATTAAATATGGGACGCCATTTGACAATGAGTTGGTCTTTTCTTGTTCTTTGTCCCGAGGGTTCTTGAGAGGACTTGCGTGATAGAAGGCCGCATCGAATTGTATTCATATTTTTCATGTGACCGTTCATTATAAAGCACAACGCCACCGGCGTGGGATGGTTGGGGTGGATGAGGGGTTACGGTGTACGGATCAGGATTTAAATTGTCTGGTCGCTACTAGTTCAAATCGGTGGCGTTGTGCTTTATAATGAACGGTCACATTAAAAATATGAATACAATTCGATGCGGCCTTCTATCACGCAAGGCAGCTGGGTTTAAATTGTCTGATCGTTACTAGTTCAAATCGTCACTCTAAATGAAACGTGCCTTGTGGCTGAAACCGTTTTCAGTCGTTACGACGCAAAAGTTGCAGCTGGGCAGTGAGAGAGAGAGAGAGAGAGAGAGAGAGAGAGAGAGAGAGAGAGAGAGAGAGAGAGAGAGAGAGAGAGGAGAGAGAGAGAGAGAGAGAGAGAGAGAGAGAGGGGGGGGGGGGAGAGGGGGAGGGGGGAGGGGGGAGGGGGGAGGGGGAGAGGGGGAGAGGGGGAGAGGGAGACTATTCTGTGTAGAACACTTCTCTTTACACTTCGTTTATATGATCCCGTACAACAAGAAGTAACAAGACGCATGGCTTATGTTAAATTAATTGTTATGCTTGTTTCTGGGATCTTGATTCGACCTGTCTTCTTGATTAATGGCCCTAAAACGTTCTGGAAATGCTGAGCTTGAATATAAAGAAGTTGGTTTGGACGGGATAATGTATATTTTTTACATGTGTTGGGATTCAGGTTTTTCCAGGTTCTCTTAGGTCTCATGAGAAGGTTCAGAAACATTGGAGTACACGCGAACAAATATTTCTGGGAAATATCGCTCATGATGGTTGACATGACATCCCCTCAACCCCATCCCACTCATTTCAGGAAGCACCGATCATCAGACCTCCGTTTGGTAGGCACATTTATTCCTGTCCCAAAAATTAGGTAATGTGCTGCATCATTGACGGCTTATTGAGAACTGAAGAAGAACGCCAGGACGGAGCGAGACGGATTTGCCGTGATTCCGCGTGCCGCGTCAATACGACGAGCAAGCATGACCGCTGAATTAAACTACTGTACTTTGGTGGTGGGGTTCAGGACCCAAGTAGTTAATATTCTGTTCTGAACGCCCATCAACGCAAAACAATCCCTCAAGTTTATTTTTACAACAGACCTTGTTCACCGCGTTGTGTAGGGGTGTTACCCCCGTCAAGGGCCTCGGAAGTGGAATATGCGTGCTTTAAGCTAGCAGATTTGTGCATCTATTTTGTAAGCTGAACATTTAATTATTAATTTTTTTCTTAATCCTGGTACAATATTTCACGCCAGCCAATTGCTGATAGAATCAATAGCGCACTTGGCTATTGTGTGTGACTACGTACTAGGCATCACATGGCACAACTTGAATTTAAAAAGGTGCAAATTATGCCCCGTATGCATCTTTCAATTTGAGTTGAAAAATTAGAAACGACATGTTTCTTTCTGGAAAGGTGGTTTGAAAGCCCGTACATGAATCTTCTCAACGGTCCGTGTCTTTACTCCGGTGTGCACGCGGTAAACTTTCATGTAATGATTGTGTGGTTGTTTTGATATTTATCTGAAATATCCAGATATGATTGAAACATCACTGATAGGCGTTGTAAAAATACTAGCTTTAGTCGCCTGCTGATGAAAAAAGGAGGCTTCCGGAGACTTATGATGGTGAACACCCTTACATGATAATCTGTGCCCCAAATATTAGCATGAGCACTGCTCCCGCAGCTTGTGTGGCCCGTCTCGGATGTCTGACAGGCGAGCTGGTATACATGATTAGCCACATTTTAATCGCAACAGCCGATTTCGTTCTGCGCTCTCTGGCTCGCATTGCCGAGTGAGTCGGTCTGGACGCGCAACCTCCGCCGCCCTACCAGCTGAGCGTCGCAAGGCATACAAGAACAGGCTGCGCCCAGTCCGGCCCAAAGCCTGTTCTTGCGTGTCTCGGGCCAGCGTAGTCACACACGCGTGGATGCATTCACGTCACCGACACATCTACATCACTCAGCGGCGACACATCTACATCACTCAGCGGCGACACATCTACATCACTCAGCGGCGACACATCTACATCACTCAGCGGCGACACATCTACATCACTCAGCGGCGACACATCTACATCACTCAGCGGCGATACATCTACATCACTCAGCGGCGACACATCTACATCACTCAGCGGCGACACATCTACATCACTCAGCGGCGACACATCTACATCACTCAGCGGCGACACATGTACATCGCTCAGCGGCGACACATCTACATCACTCAGCGGCGACACATCTACATCACTCAGCAGCGACACATCTACATCACTCAGCGGCGATACATCTACATCACTCAGCGGCGACACATGTACATCGCTCAGCGGCGACACATCTACATCACTCAGCGGCGACACATCTACATCACTCAGCGGCGACACATCTACATCACTCAGCGGCGACACATCTACATCACTCAGCGGCGACACATCTACATCACTCAGCGGCGACACATGCGCATCGCTCAGCGGCATGCTCGCGATCTCTATCCGCCCCCCCCCCCCCCCCCCACACACACACACATTCCCGGGAGGCGCCCGTACGGCGTGTACTGTCACTGGCGGTCGGCCCCACCACATTAGTGCCACGACAAAACATCCTGCCGGCTGCAGTAATGCGCCATTATTTCTCCTGTCATTAGTTATACATGACCTTGGGTACTACACGACAACGATTCGCTTCAAAAAGCTCTACCCGGTCATAACTTATACTGCGAAAGCAAATATAGTCAATAGTTAAGCACGACACCACGTCTGTTGCGAAGACTTATCATCGGCATTAATGCTACGTGACAAAACCATACCGCGTAAACTTGTGCCTGCCATTGCCTGTACTGAAAAACTTATACAACCATTAATTATATACAGTATAACTTTCACTGCAAAAGCCCTTACGTGTCACTACTGCTACACGACAGAACTTATCTCTCAACAATGTGTAATTGTCGATACTTTTACTGAGAAAATTCATACAGTCCCCGTTTTGCGAAAATTCATACGCAATACTTCTACTGATAATGCTTCCCGTGAGGTGCAAAATGCATGGATACCTAGCAGGGTTGTAGGAACAATTCACAGATTGGGAGGAAGGCCCAGCTGAGCAGTACTGCAATTTAAGTTCGTGGTGCTGATACGAAAATCATCTACTCCTTATGTTACGCAATGTTGTGGACTGGTCGTGTTCGGCGAATGAGCAAAGGCTGTAGTTTGGGTGGCAAAATCTCAGTGACAGGCATAACTCACTGAAGTGTCTGTTTTGTTGCGTAGGACTAGAGCCTTATATGAGTTATTGTGGTTGAAGCAATGTCGTGTTTCAGTTAACACCAAGCCTAGGGTGTAGTTTCGTACTTAATCGGAAATCCCAGTTAACCTGACTGTCAGACAGGAAGGTGTGCCACGTTCGTGGCGAACGCCTTGTTTCATTTAATTTGTATTTGGGAGCAGGCTTGACCGCTTTTTTCTGCTAAACCTCTGACCTTGCTTCGCAACACTGCGACAGTGCAACATAGTTTTTTTCTGCAGAAAGATGTGTACAACGACCCCCATGTGTCTGTTGATCGCAATATTGACAGCAGCAATAATGCATCGCTCCATGGAGTGGGTACCCGCGGTCTGATTTTACTCAGCCAAATGCTCCCATCTGCTCGTTCCCCCTGCAGGATTTTGGAGGGGCCTAACCTATGGGATGGAGTACCGGCGATTGTAATTTGTGGACTCCGGCCTGTATCTCATTGCACAAATGTCGCATATGAACATTGGCAGAAGAAGTAATATCGATAATCGGTGAAGACTACATAGGTTTTTACAGTGGACAGGATGGCATGCATAAACTTTGTTGTGTAGCACTGATGGCACAAATAATTCAGAGCAGGTAAAAAATGAAAGGTGGAAAGTCTGCCGCAGAACAAATGACGAACATAAGTTTTGTTGTGTAGCACCCATGTTGCGTATTCGTCTTTGCAGTAGAAGTAATGTCGCGTGAAAGTAAAAGCTGTAAGCTTTGCAATAGGTATAATAACACGCATAAGTTTTTAAGTATGCATTTTATTGTCTAGCGCTCACGTCGTGCATCAGTCTTTGCAGTAAAATTAATATCGCTTATAAGTAAAGTCTGTATAAGACTGCAGTAAAAATAGCGCCGCGTACAGCTGATGTTGCAGCGCTCGTATCGGTACGAGTTTTTGCCGTAGCACAGATGTCGCGACACTCTGGCGGTCGGGCTTAGCCCGCTTCCTGGAGCGACACTCTGAGAAGCGCGAGACACACGCGTGCGCTACATCCGGCTCTCGGCACTCTCCGGGAAGACCTCGGGCAGCTCGTTCAGCCGCGGTCCGGGCGAGGCGCGCCATTCGCTCTCCGTCATCGAGACTTGCGACATCAGAGTCTTCGAGGCGACGGCCGACCCCTTCGGTTGGCCCTCACGTGCTGGAAAGTAGACCGAGAATGACACGTTACCAGCAGTGTTTCGAGACCGCCACGCGGCCCCATAGTAGAAGCGGGGTGGTATTTCGATGATTTTAGACTTCACGTGTTCCAATATTTCGAGTATGTCTTGTGAAAAAATGTCTGCATTTGAAATTCTCAAAATTTCGTCCCAAAGAATATGATAAAAGAATAAATCGGCTAATGAAACGGTATCTTCATATGCTGATGTTGCTGCTTGTGTATGATGTTGCTGCTTCATATGCCGATGTATCTTCATGTGCTGCACGAAATAAAATCCCAGCGTTTGAGTGACCAAGATTGTTTTATGACTGTATGAGGAAAGGGGCTCGTGGAACCCTTTCGAGATTACATGTGCATAGCACTTACAAGATCTAATCCAATCCGAACCAATGATCTTCGGCATTATCCGGCCATATAATCCAATCCGAACCAACGATCTTAGGCATTATCCGCCCATCTATCCGCTCATTTTGACGAATTCCAAGTCCGATTTGGTTCAATCCCTTGCCGCATACGTATTTTCTGGGGCACCCTGAATAAGTCCTCCACATTTCAGTCAGGTTAATTATAGCATGTTAATGATATAAAACCTTGGCACATATATGGCCCCTGAATTTAGTGTGCCACTCTCCCTTTTGATCTTCATTTATTTGTAATGACGAATTTTCAACTCAATCCAAACTTATTGCATTGATCCAGATTCCTTGGATTAGTGCCCTGGAATACAAAAATTCGAGTGGAATCCCCATACCAAGGTACAAATTTGCAGTACTCCCTTTATTCGATGACACCAGGCTTTCCAAGTATCGACGCCTTTCGTTTAGTTTTATATCATGCATTAAACAGCTCAAAGACAGATTCAACCAACATGAAGATCAGCATCCAATGCGCCAGCAGCAGTGTTCCGCAGATTGTCCATCAACATCGTCGGAAATTTGGTGATTGGGTGTCTGTTTTACATCTCGGGACTTTTCAATGTATTCATGCATAAAACATACAAAAATGAACTGTTTAAATGGTGTTACGAGATCAAGGAACGCAACCACAATTGTAGCTAACATGATGACGGAAACATCTCTTCGGCATTCTTTCAATCGCTTTATCTTTTGGCCAACCAAGGACCACAGTTAAACAAGCTGCCTGAACTCCAGATTTCTGGACCACTCGAAAACGATCCCTTAAATGTTTGATTGTACTTGAAAGGATATATACAAAAAATATACAAGATATACAAAAAAATATATAAAAACCTGTTTTTGCGAAGGATGGATGTGATGAAAACTTTTTAAAAACCTTGTATATGTCTAAAAAGTTTTAGTATATACCAAACACCTTGAGAAGGAAAGGATTTGCTTCATGCAGTTTCATTGACATTCAATAGGTTTTTTTAAAAACAAAATAGCCGCTTTATAGTAATCTCTTACTTCAGTGCAAGGTTTTTCACTCCAAGCATATGATGATGTGAGGCCTGGCAACGGTATGAATCGGTCGAGGACGTGGGATGTTGGCTGCGTCGGTATTGCTTACGTCGATACCTTGTGGAGAAAGGCTGGCTTTGCTGATTATTTCATTCAAGCATCTTTAATATTGCACCACGCGTACGTACGTAGGTTCTATAACTACTGCATACATGCGTGTAGGAACCCTCCCAGGATATATAAGTTTGTTTTTCGCGTCTGCGCCAGATACGTCACCGCAACTTTTAAAAAAGCTTGGAAAATTTTGGTAGGGAAATATCTGACATTACAGCTATCTGTACAGGCGTGATTTTGCTTATAACCAAAGAACTGCGATGTTATCAACATAGACGTACTTGTAAGCGTGTTTCTTAACTGCGCTTGGCCTACGCAAACGAATGTGTGACAGGTGCGTTGTGATATTGCTGCATGCAACTGGGTGCACAGCTCTAGTGTATGGGTATCACATCCAGAGGTGTTTGAGCTTTGCACCTGACTCAAAAGCGTACGCTGACTCACACTGAGAGGAGCTTTCCGAGAAGAGTCGAGGCCGGCGGCAGAACAGTACGGTCTTGTACGCCTGTCGATACTGCTTGCTCATAGTGACGTAGATGATGGGGTTGATGCAGGCCGACAGGTACACGAGAATGTAGCCTAGAATATGTACACCTGCAATACGCACAAGAGCGTCACGCGTAAGGTTGGACGCCAGCTCCATTGGTTTAGAGTCGGTTTGTAACTAGCGCTGTGTATTAGATGCGTGCCTTCGTGCCTGAGGCGAGTGGCACATCTTGAACGAACAGTTGGGCGTTGTTCCATGCGACTACGCCGTCCGTAATTCTTCGACTTTGTGCATCAATGATGTCACAGCAACGTGACGGGTGACAAACATATGAACCGCCAGGTGCGAAATCATGAAAAATGCTTCGAGGAGCTGAGGCGAATAGCTGCCCATATGGGCTATCGCATGCAACAATTTGCAAAGGAAGTGACCTTACTATAGTAGGTAATATAAGCTCCCGACCAGTAGATGCATGCGGGTAACGCATAAACATACAATGAATAATGCGTGATGGAGATGCGACAACAGACAGCTAGACCGGTTAGAGCTGCAGCGGATATTTATGGTGAGGGCTTTTTTCTTGTTTGCTGAAGGCTGACAGTATTGGCGTCCCGTAGAATAGTATTTCAGAGGCATGCGTATTGACATAAGAAAGCGCGGTGTCAAACAGCGCGAAGAGGAAATGGGCAAAACCTCGTTCAGGACCGTCCAAAGATCACGTTACGCATTTTTGGAAACGTATTCAGCGTCTTTCCCCTGGTTTTACACTGGTCACGCTAGGGGAGAAACATGTCCCTTGGTTACATCGTTACAACATGCTTTAAAAGGCTTGCAGTATGATTTGCATCCACACTTGAGTGCAGCATTACCCTGTCACACCCCACTTGAGCGTAGCATAACCCTGTCACACCCCACTTGAGCGTAGCATAACCCTGTCACACCACACTTGAGCGTAGCATAATCCTGTTACATCACACTTGAACGTAGCGTTACCCTGTCACAACACACGAGCGCAGCGTTACCTTGCAATAGCACACCCGAACATGCTTTGCCCTGTCACACCACACTTAGGCGCAGCGTTACCCTGCCGCACCACGCTTGAGCGTAACGTTACCCTGTCACACCACACTTGGACGTAGCGTTACCTTGTCATAGTACACTTGAGCGTAGCGTTACCTTGTCACAACACACTTGAGCGTAGCGTTACCTTGTCACAACACACTTGAGCGCAGCGTTACCCTGTCACACCACACTTGAGCGTAGCGTTATACGATCACACGACACTTGAGCGCAGCGTTACCCTGTCACACCGCACTTGAGCAGTGTTACCTTGTCGCACCAGCTCCGTCCATTGTCCCCCAGTCACGTTTTGGTTGCCTGTCATCGAAACCTCTTCCCTTGCCGTACTTGGCGTAACGTATGGATGGTCCATTGCCATCCATCCTTACAGCTATCCTGCTGTCTATGTGCCATGATATGCGCGTCACTTTTTACGTAATTAACACAGCAAAGCGTGGGTGGAGTCACGTAGCCAAACAATGGGCGTCATGCCCTGCAGGGTAGCGAATCCAGGCGCGCTGCCGAAACATGATACGACATGAAAACCTCGAACGGTCAGAGTTTAACCACGTTTCTTAGCCTACCTGCACGTCAGATGCCAAAAAAGAAGAACCAAATGTGTCTTACAATCTTTCCAGCCTTGTTAACAGGAATACCAGTCATCGCCTTGGTATCAGTGCGATAATGCAAACTAATACCTTCTGTTTTTGCGCACTATCTGTGCGTACCGAGCCGTCACATTCTTTTAAAGCGATCTGTTCTGAGTCAGCTCATCGCTCGGCTGCATGCTGTATTTTCTGCCACATCTGGTTAAATTGAGAGCAGCCGATAGACATACCACAAGTAGTGCGAAATGCTCCTCCAACTGGATATTTATACATCCACCAATGACATAAGTGATGATTGTGTGCACCATACAGCAACATGTAGGTGCTTCAACGCATTATTATATAACGTGCCACTTGCTTTGCACAAAATGTGTGACTATAATTAAACATGACTATAATTAAACACACCGTCGTTCCGTGTTTGCGGTCTTGGGCACTTTATCTATAACACGTTAGAACTGGCTCTAAACAAGACGTCACGCTCCCACGGCCTCAAAAGGACAAAACGGTCTCGCACCCTAGCCTAAAAGTGAAAAACTCGTCCTATCAAATCTTAAGATAGCAAGCCGCCTAAGCTATGAAACTGCCATCCTCACATAAAGTCTAGTGAAAGTGATGTCATGGAAATCAGCATTTTCGAGGTTCCATAGTCTGGAGCCAGCTCTAGGTGGCGGTTCTGGTGACATCACGGTTGGAGGACACTGAGCCGAAGTCAATCACGCAGTGAGGAAAGGAATAACTCTAGCCACCCGGACATGAACGTCCATGAACATTCACTGGAAGGCTCATTTTCTAGCTTTATTTTCTAATCAGTGAACTGGTTATCTATTACTTAATTATCATAAGGCTTGCCCGGATATCTGACGGTGGGGTCCTTCACTTTGGCGAGTGTGATTGGCAGGTAGCAGACGACGAAGGTGAGGAAGACGGCCAGCGACATCTTGGTAATGCGCATTTCACTTTTCTTGCGTCGCTCCTGGCGCGATTTCTTCTGCTGCGAGGTTTCCCTGGAGCTGTGACGCCGCACGCGCCGGTTGGACCTGCGGGGAAGAGCTGTGTCTGGTGTGCCAGCGTTTCGTGTGCAGTGAAACACCTTCATTGCTTAGGATGCGTCGGTTTCCGAGTTGGACGAGCGACATCAATCTCAGGTTGAGTGTATGTGTTTTAATATCAGTTAAGCGTAAAGAACAACATTATAACGGCACTGTCACTTTCAGGTATGGCCTGTTTATATGTGGTTACAGGTTCCAGGTGTAAAATGGGGTCAAATTCAGTTAAGAAGGAATAACCATGCATTGCACAACAACACGCATTGTTCTAAAAAGGTGCATGACCAAGGTACCAATGCGTTTCATCAAGAGCTACTCTTCAGACTTTCGAAACGGACAGCAATGGAAGCGGAGATCAAGCCGCGCAGAGGTGGCTGCAAATAGCGTCTATCTAAACCTAAAGCTAAACAAGCAGTATGGCTGCAAATTCTTAAAAATTATATTTGGCCGCTCACGAGACGACCACGGCCAGGATGCCGGCATAGCAGATGCAGATGGCCACGCAGGGTATCACGAAGCCGATGACGAAGAGGGCGATCTTGGACGATCGGCCGTCGACGCGCACGATGGTGCAGGTCATCAGACGCGCGTGATAGCCGAACCGACCTGGCAGCGACGTCAGCGAGCCTTTCAATCAGACCTTCCAAGGAATCAAACCCTGATCAGACCTCTCGCAGGAATCAGATCTGCCCACGTTGATAGCTCAGAGGGATGATTGTTCTTCCTGTTACGAGATGTCATCTCTACGCAACGTCCTCAAGGGTCCTCACAGTGTCGAGTGGATGTGCCGTACGCATACTGACTTGGACTCCAACCACAGTGTCACCCCCTAAGTCAACACCATGGAAGTTAACTTTAACGACCAGCGATATCTTATGCATTTATGGCCCGAGAACTCGAAGCTACTTTCATGGATTCCTGGTACCGTACTTCTGTTATCAAACCAACTATTGTACAATCTGATCACTTTCATCCACATCACATCAGGTTTACCACATAAAGGCATGGGCATGTGCTTACCCCAGCGGCCAGCCAACGTCGGGAGCAGCATGCCGAAGCTGTAGAGCCAGATGAAGGCGATTTGTACAGCCACCCACCGTTTCTGGTAGATTCGGCTGTACGCCTCGTTAAAGGCGATCATCACGAACCTGCAGAATGTATAGATGTAGCTGCAGTCCAACCCAAACTAGCAGGGATGTCATCGGATGCCAGTGTTGCATTCAGGCAAGTAATCACCGCATTGCAAGGCGTCGCCGTGTGAAAAATATCACATTAAAAGCAGAGGACCATCATAACCCGCTATACGCTCGCATCCAAATTGCCACCACAGCAAGCAGCGCAGATATATATGGTATTCTCGTGTTTTCATAAGAGTATGTCACCTGCGGAGAAAATGCTACTCACGACAACCGACAGGAAATACTTTTAAATCACACTCTGCTAATATTGAGCACTACAAAATAATTGTCACAGCATAGTGCAAAGCGCTACCAAGTCGAGCCAGGCACTTTAAATGACTGCATGTGCGATTGTTGCGGTCTCGGTCCGTGCTGGGGAGGGACCGAACACCGACTGCTGTTGGTGTCGACGCGCACGTGACCTCCGGGGCTGGATTGCTCTGACATCGGTGAACATCATGCTGCAGCGTTAGCACTTAACTGCCGAATCGTTACCTGTTAACCGTTATCTGAAACAAAGGACACTTCCAGTCAGCCGTTATAGTCAGATACTTGAGGCTATGTCAGTTTCAGATGTCGAAGGCTGCGTCTGAGCGGGGAGAAGTGACATGCTTCTGTTGTTCGATGTTTGTTAGACAATGTGAATAATTCCGACGGCTCTATAATATCTAGCCTTGTCAAGGCTTAAAGCCCTGCTGAAATGCGTTCATTTGTGTAATTACCTCGTGCCTGCCATCCAAACTGGCGTTACATACTGCAGTCTCCATGAGTATGTCAGAGACGTGCGCCGACACAAAGTGTGATGCAAGACCCAAAGACGCCGATAAACCCTTCGGACAACGCACTACTAGTATCATATATATATATATATATATATATATATATATATATATATATATATATATTCAACACCATGAAACAAATAACTAAATTTCCTGTTCAAAATGGGATATTAAACTTGATCTCAAAGTTAATACTGAGTCGGACCCAGGCTTTGTGTCTGGCGGGACCGTCCAGCCATTAGAAGGGTCATCCAGCTCACCCCAAGTGCATATGGCCAATATCAGGAAACCTCGCCTCGACACCTGGTCATAGTTGATGCAGACACTGAGTCAGCCTCCATCACGACATCACGACGGGAGAAGTCCTCGTACCCACCATGGCGATGGAGAGCAGGGAGCAGCCGACGTTCCAGTATCTCAGCAAGGGGAAGAGCACGCAGATGAAGCCGTCGCCCAGAAGCCAGGCGCCGTGGGAGAAACGGTATATCTCGAAGGGCAAGACCAGCAGACAGAAGGAGAAGTCGGCCACGCATAGACTGAGACAATAAGATGGACAGCGTTGGCACAAAAAACACTTGGTGAGAAATCAGTTACGCCTAGTTGGAAGCCTAGTGACGGACAGGCTTCGACAGCAGGAGGAGGAGGAAAGAGGAGTAAGCCGGACACACACAGACTGGCACCTGAAGACGGTATGTGTCAGGCACTGGCAGACAAAACAGAATAGGCTTAAAACAGTTGACAGTGTCAGCATCAGCAGGTAAAGGGAGAGATTGTGCACACCCAAGCGAAGGCATGGAGACGAACAGTATCAGGCACCATCAGGCAAACGGGGGACCAGTTACGCCCATTCTGGGGCATGCGGATCGACCTCAGCATCAACAAACAAGGGGAGAGGCACACGCACGTACTGGGGCATGCGGATAGACATCAGCATCAACAAACAAGGGGGAGGCACACGCACCTACTGGGGCATGCGGATAGACATCAGCATCAACAAACAAGGGGAGGCACACGCACGTACCGATACATAAAAAAGAACATTGCTAGCATCGCTAGTACGGGGAAGCAGCACGCGCACGTACTGAGGCAGTCAGACAAACTGTATCAGTCACCAAAATATAGAGGGAGAGACCAGTCCAGTCATATCAGAGCCGCCGTGCACGTGTCAGTCGGCCGGTCAGCTTGACAACGCAGGTGAATAGCTGCTACGGACAAAACACTGGGCAACTCTCCATCTTGCCCCGGGTTTACGCAATAGGGAACGCTCAGATTTACCTCGTGTGAGGAGCTTTGAACCGCTTGTGACGTTCAAATAAAGAATGCACAAAGAAGAATGTGTGCTGCCGTCTGCTGTCCATTTCGTTGCTCTCTGTATGGCTATCAATGACATCGTCAAGTACCGATCAAACATCCTCAGCCACTAAGTCGGCGAACAAACTTGTTAGAAATGCGTGACGGCATTTCCTTCATCATGCAGGAATGCCGGACAAATGACGGTGTGCTGTAATCTTGGGGCGTGGTGTTCGTACTAATGGGGCACCTGATTGATACCCAGCCGGCTTCTTCGGGAGGGCGTTGGCTGACTTTTGGATTTACTCAGCCAGTGCGCGTGTGGAGCGTTTTTGGATTAAGCGGTGTTCGGCCAGGTTATTTCTGTTATCCGCGCAGGCGTATGTTTCCGTCCTTTGCATTTTCCACACCGCCCGTCAGGATCGGTGGAGTTGAGATCGGCGGGGCGCGGAACAGCAAGCAAGCAGGCCTCAGCCAGGGACACCCCTCCGAACAAAACAAGCCATTAGGACGAAAGGAGCCTTAGAAGTCAATGCAGATCCAGCGAAATCTGCGCCTGGTCGCCTGTCAGCAGCAGGGTGGGGTGTGCCCGTGAGCCTGGTCGTCTGTCACCAGCAGGGTGGGGCAGCAGCAGCCCGTGAACCAATTTTCGGGATAAG